GTGAAATGCCTTGTGTGTGGAGGAATTGTTGCAAGTAGTGTCTGGCTCTTGTCAGTAGACAGGAGGAAAAATATGAAAGAAGTCCAGGGAGCCAAGCAGCCACTGTACTTGTCCTGCCCTACAAGTGACGTTGTTGCAGTTTGATGCTCTGCTGGGGTTGAGTTCTTAGTTTACACTGTATTTGAAATACTGTGGTTTCTCAGACCAAAAAGGGATATTCTTGTAACTTTGGATTTGTTGGTCAAATCAATCTTAACTTTTTAAATTTAAGAATAAATTAAAACGCATGCCACTTTCGTAAATTGGAGAAAGTCAAGATCATACTGTTTTAGAAGTCACGATTATGGAGGATTCTAGTAAAATGAACTTTGTAATGCAGTCGTTAGGATGGCTGTCTTTATTCATAGTAAGTTTTTCGTAGCTAAATCAAGCGTTAATTGGAAGCATGTATCCTTGTGAAAGGAATTCTAAGGCAAAGCTTCCCGAGGGGTGAGGTTACAACTTGGCTCTCTCCGTGCTCCCTTTCAGTTGTAACCTTTATTACTCTATGATGATAATAATAATAATAATTGCTATTATTATTCTGTAATAAATTATGGTTTTGATAATGAACATAAACCTGCATTTCAGTGTTTCCTCCCACACACTACAAACCTTGACGGAGTTTTTTGCCTGGTATGTTTTGTGTTTCCATTAAGATCTTGGAACAATTGAAACACGGCAGACAAAGGGAAACCTTCCAAGACTCTTCACTGTAGAAACTTAGAGTTTGCTAAGTTTTTTTTTGTTTTTCCTACTTCTGCCTTCCTGGTGCTGGGATTGCAGGCATGCACCACCACACCCAGCTAGGTTTTGCTAACTTTTCTTTCCCTTAAGAAGAAAGCAAAGATTTATTAAGATGCTACTAAAAGGGGGATACGGTGGGTAGCTCTGCAAAGGAGCATGTGCCAGATTTGCTAAGTTTTAACCAAAAATTTAAGTCGACTGAGTTCTGTTGCTGACTTGGAAGTTCACATTTCATTTTGAACACTTATTCCAGGCTGTGCTTTCATACATGAGACCCATGTTGGCTTCCTGCATTTCCTAAGCAGGTCCAGAGCAGTGCTTTAGCATGTGGACTGTGGGTGCTGGGGGCATGGGTCACCAGGGAGGGTGACCCTCCCAGAACCTGCAGTGCAGCAGGGCTGCGCTCACAACTGGCTGATTCTGCGTGTCTTGTTCTGCTGCTTGCAAGCTTAGGGACTTTAGGCAGTTTGCCCACTTCCTTAGTTTCTGACTCCTATTTGCCAAGTCAAGGAATCTCTTCTGACCCCACTGTAATTCCCCTCCCTCCCTCCCTCCTTCAGCCCCCTACCCTTAACCTTCCCTAGCCTAATGGCCGTGGCCACTCCTTTTGGTCACTTTTTGTAGGAAGATGAGAGCCGTCCAGCAGGCTGTGGTCACACCCTAAAATCAGCATTTCTGGGACCTTTGGGTATTCTCTGTACACTGAGGACACCTCAGTGTGGGGCTGCTTATTCAGAGACTGCTCTAGTACTCACTTGGCATAGTCAGTAAATGACTCCATGAGACCCACCATTTGCTACAGGTGACAGTCAAGATGGAGGTCCACAGACAGGTTTGTGTGTACAAAGCACCTCTCACACACAGGGCCTGTACCTTCCTGCACCTGTTCCCTGGTGCTGTTATCCTGGTGTTTTATGGTTCAGGGCCCCGGGTTTTAGAAGGGACGAACACCCTCTCAAGTAAAGACTTGTCACCGGAATCCTCTGGGGCTGTGGTCCTGGAAGCAGTGGGAGGTTCCCGGATATCCTTGCTGTGGTCAGCTCTCAGTGCTCTTTTTAAGCAGTCATACCATTTATGGCTTTCCCAGAACCGTCTAGAATCCTCCTCTGTTCCTTCTTCATGCCAGCTTCATGGAGGAAGTGCCAGATGTTCACTGTTTGGTTCTGCAGGCTGCTGAGGGCAAGTGGACAGATGGCCTGGTCATTAGCTCGTGTTTGTGGAGGGGGGGCCCGTGACCGCTTTGCCTTCCTGGGTGCCCCTCCCTGAGCTCCTCGGCCCTGTGTCCGTGGAAAGTGGTGACACCTGGGACCCCAGGAGGGAGGGAGGAAGACTTTTCAAAGTGCTCTTTAACTTTTAAAGTCCAGGGCAGTGTTTTTTCAGTTAGAATTTTTGTGGAAATATTTATTTTGATTTTATTTGTGTGTGTGTTGGGGGGACTGCGGTTTAAACTCAGGGCTTCACTCTTGCAAAGCCAGCACTCGATGGCTTGAGCCACACTCCAGTATATTTTTGCTGTGATTATTTTGGGAACAGGGTCTTTCAGATGTCCAGGCTGGTCTCAAAATACAATCCTCCCCATCGCAGCCTCCCAAGTAGCTAGGATTATAGGCGTGAGCCACCAGCTCACAGCTTTTATTATGATTTTATTAGTAATCGTTCTACTGTCAGATAGCTGAAATTTACTTAATTGTAATGAAGGGACAAATGTCACTCCACACTCTTACTCGTCTCCTCAGTTTGTGTAGCTGTTAATTTTAAAAGCCAAACAAAAGAGGTCTTATTTTTATATACCCAGATTTAAGCACCTTGTAATTAGAGGTTTGATTATTTACATATAAACTTAAATTTTATGTCAGCATCAAGTGGTCTGAGGGTGGGAGGGGACACAGAGGCAGTGAACAGACGCTGGTGTGAGGGTGTGTGTGAGAGTGTGCACGGCTGTGCATGTCATTCCCGTGTGCACGCACGCACAGGTGTGCACACAGGGCCATCACCTCCCTGGCGTTACTGAAGGACAGTGGTTTTCAAGTTTCATCTTGCTTCCCCCGGGAGCCTCCTAAAACACACACTTCTGCCCCTGAGTTCCAGCTCTGCACACTTAGAACTCACTTGCCCAACCACCCGTCTGCCTGTGATGTTGCTGCTGCTGACTGGGGACCCCGTGGGAACCTCATAAGGGGTCAAGGTTTCTCCAGGGTAATCGCTCCTGACTCAGACTGGGGAGGGCCTGGTGTAAAGAAGGGCAGGCAGCAGTCCTGCTGCCTGCTTCTGCCTCATGCTAGAAACCACTTCTCTCCTTCATCTTCATCGCTTGCTTTGGGGGAGGGGGGAGGTGAGAGAGAGAGAGGGAGCAAGAGGGAGGGAGAGGACAAGGCTGAATGTTTCTTCCCCTTAGTATTTTTTCCTCTACCACCATGGCTCCCTTCATTGTTTCTGACTTTCGGCACCTCCCCACACAGGCCACTGTGGTGTTCTGAATGCGAATGTTATTAGAATCCCACTTATATGAAAACAGCCATGTCTGGGTGGAGGAGCGCTGGTTGAGGGGAGAGTGTGGGCCACTGCGGGAATTCTGGAATAAGGGAACCCAGACAGGGCTGATTTGAGATGCTGTTGGATGAGGCTGTGGTGGCCTGGGAGGAGGGAGTGGACAGAGAAGGAAAGGACCCTGACCTTCACCTTGGCCTGCTGGAGAATTTGGCCCAAAGCCAGGAAGCAGTGCTGGAGAGGACACATTTCCTTCAATGCCTTGTCAGCTACACCATTAATTTTAGAGTCTCCAAGGAATGTTTTTTAAGAAGTGTCTTACCGAGCCGTAAGCTAGAACCAATTCTGTAAATGACTAACAGTTATTAAGTCTGCTTAAAAATAATCAGATCTCTTAAAAGAGCGTAAACATTTAAGAGTTCACATGTCTTAAGAGGAATACCATTCACGATTTCACCTGTGTTGCCCCTCTCCAGCCCTGTGTTAGGTTCCCAGGGCTGATATAACAAAGTACAGACAACTGGGCAGCTTAACCATCTTGCCATGCTAGAACCAGGACTTGGAATGGGGTCACAGGTGCGCTCCCCCTGAGCCTGATGGAACTGCCCAATCTCTCCCTGTGGCTGTGGCATTCCTCTTCCTTTCTTGGTAGACATGTCGCCCTCATCTCCTCTAAGGTCACATCCTTAGGAATTCAACATAAGGATTCAACTCACAACAATCCCTTCTGGGCTACCAATAGGGAATTTTAATTTTTCTAGGACTACCTGATAAGGACATGGTTTTCTGCTTATTTTTCAGTGACTGTCATATATGTCTATGTTCTTCATGTACTTTCATGAAAATAGAACAACGAAGTCTGTTGAAATCATTTTAAGTAGGTGGGGAGGGCGATTTGGGAGAATGATGGTGGGGGTGAACCTGAGATACATCGTATAAACATATGTGGAAATGTCACAATGAAACGTTGTACGAACTGCAGACAGGCCTCCCAAGGGGGGGTGAGAGAGCCATCTCTGAGTGTCTTCACCTCACACTTGCCTGCTGGCTTTTGTCCTTGACTCTGTCCTCTCCCCCTCCCCACACTCGCTCTGCTGAGTGCCAGCTCCACTGGATTTTAAGCCTTTCTCCTACACAGCCAGCCTGAAATCTGTTCTGTACTGCTCTCTGGTCTGCCGTGGGCTGCTTGGATCCTTGCCCCACCTTGAAAAAAAGCAAATGACAGTTTGAGCAGTGCCTGTGAAACTATTTAAATACCTGTTGGAAACACGGAGTCAGACCCTGTTCATGCCACAGCCTCACTTTTTCATTGACCTGCTGAGTTGACTTTGTGTTTGGGGCCACCTGTCTGAACTCCACAGAGACAGAGCCCTGGGCAGGCAGCTGATGAGCAGCTGGGTTCCAGCTCATGAGATGCCTGGGCTACGCTGAAGAGTTTGCAGGGTCTCAAGGTGGGGGTGACGCCTCCTTATATGTGCATCTTCCTATGCACATTGTCCAGGGACTCCCAGATGGTAGATTTTCCAGTGGGTCGGCCAAGGGCAGGATGTATAGGCACTTAATGCAATTACAGCTCCCCAAAACATACTTTTTAAACAAATTTCTTTAATGTATTATTCTTTAGTGATTCAGTTTTTCGAATGTCTTCCCCTTCTTTTGAGACCAGCTGTGTTGGAAGCGCCGTGGGGTTCTCTCCAGTGTAAACACATCTCTTGTCTCTTTTGCAGGGACCTTCGGTTTAACAGAATCACAGAGGTCCAACCTGGGGCATTCAGGAGGCTGAAGAACTTGAATACACTGTAAGTTGAAACTTTTGGTTGGGGAGCTTTGGGAGAGAAAACAAAAGTTAAAACACCACTTTCCTGCAATGTGTTCATTGCCTGATTATCCACAGTCAGTGGGCATGAGTGGGAAAAGTGGAGAGGGAAGGTGGATGGAACCTGACATTAAAAGCCAGGATGGCGGGTAAGCCTCTGATCTGTGTGTGCCATTGTCGTGTGTTTGATGGAAGCGGCGCTAGTGGCTTCTGGCAATTTTCCCACACCAATCCTGTGCTTGCTGGGCTAGGTCTCCTTCCTGCCTGCCTTCACCTGTTCCGGAGCAAGGTGGAGCAGAATGGTGCATCTCTTGGGCTCACCCTTTGAGTTGTGCCAGGATCTCAGACCTGTCAGGAGGACAGGGGAACTGGCGGGGAGGGGCAGTGAGCAGCCAAGCTGCAGCAGATGCCAGGCTCCTTAGGAGGCACTGTGGACGGACACTGGTCCTAGGTGCTGGGCTGTGGTGAGAAGGAGCTAACTAAGTCCCTCAGAGAGTAGGGTTGTGAGGTGATGGCTCTGCATATCAGCTCCTTATCTGTGGAAGCACCTGTGGAATGAATTGTGTGTTGGCTGTGTGAAACACCTCAAGGTCACGTTTGGCAAAACCCTCCTGTCCTATGCTTGCTTCAAACTGGCCGTAAGCCCAGCTGAAGTAGACAGTCTGAGAGATGGCAGGAAGAAGACATGTGTCCCTTGGCTAGGCAGAGGATTTATTTCGCTAACGTATATGGATGAGAAAGTGGGCAGTGAGGAGGAATCCTGGTCTGTGTGAGTTGGAAACCAGGCTGAGAGGCTGGCATCGCTGATGTTGGGTGAGGTCTGCAGCTCAGGCATTCTGTGGCCTTTGCCAAGGCTACAGGTTTCCTAAGCTCAGTTTGCAGGTATTTGGGGGATTTGTTGGTTTGCTTTTTTTAAGCTTCTATTGGAATTCTCTTTCCTAGGCTTCTCAACAATAATCAGATCAAGAGGATACCCAGTGGAGCGTTTGAAGACTTGGAAAACTTGAAGTATCTGTAAGTCAGTGGCCCCTCTTAGCCTGTAGCCTATGCTGTCTGTCCGTGCATAGAGTATCGAAATGCAACCAGTCTGAGCTGCTTGTGAGTGTACAAAATGCACCAGACGGAGAGGCTTTATTTTCAGGTGGGTGTGATTTTCACTGGGATTTTAAACGGGTTTTCAGTGGTGTGAGGAGCCACGTCAAGACAGGCAGGTTGGAGTGCCCAGCCTCTCACGGCGGTCGGGTGCTGGTGAAGGCTCAGAGGCGGAAATGGGCTCATCATGCCCAGAAATGCCCAGCCAACCTGCATTCTGCAAATTCGAGCCTCCCGTCATTTTTCCAGCCATAGGTGGACAATGCAGGGTAAATTACTGATTCCTTTGAAGTGTACTCATTCCTGTTCACTGCTTTCAGAAAATCATCTGCCCCTGATTTTCTAAGAGTTGGTTTTAATTAATTAATTAATTAATTAATTATTGGCTAACATTTGCTCATTGAAATCAGTTTTTCAGTTTAGAAGGTGGTCTCCCTTCCAAGTACTGGGTCAGTACCCTGCTCACGTGTGTATTTTAAAATGGAAAAGCATTCTTGCTGTTATATGAATTGCATCCTGGGTCTGGGCAGGTCAGAAGCTTTTTGCAAATTATTTTTCCTTTTAGGACTTAAATAACTTTCCAAAGTGAGATTTATATGAAGGACTTGAGTCGTTTATTTTTGTTGGAAATTCATGCTATAACTACAAAAACATCTTTAACTGATTTTTTAAAAACCATTTTGGGAGCACACTTCGAAATCTGTTTTGATTCTAGGTGTCAGTGGCTCCTAATTACAGACCTACCTGTAACCGTAAAAGCACATTTTCCTTAATCAAAGCCTTATGTGTAAATGCTTTTTCCAGGCTCCTTGGCATAGAATTCTGATGTTTAATTTCGTCCGAACATTACTAAGCCTTGTTACTAACTTTTAAGATGAGAGACAGGAAAGGCCTTCTTGTCACTCTTTGAGCTTTTGTTTGTTCACTCTTTTGTTGTTGCTGTTATTGTTAACTGCTATGCAAGTTCCAAGAGGGAGTTTGGTTTGCTGGAAAGTGGATTCAATTAGCTGATGGCCGTGTGAATGTGTGCATGTTTGTATAGTTTTAGCTGCTTTTCTTTTTCTTTTTCTTTTCTTTTTTTTTTGCTCTTGGCTTTACATTACTTAAGATCAAGTTGTGTGTTCTGAGAATAACTTGTTCAATGACAAGAAGTTTGGGTTGTTGTTTTTCACAATCTCATTTAAATAATACCTGCTGACCACTTAACGCTTGAAGCATCTGTTCTGACTCTCTTCCCTCCCTCTCACGGGGTCCATGACACAGACTGCTGCAGTGGGGTCAGGTACCAGGTCTCAGTAAAGAAGAGACAGGTTAATGTGCAGGTTGGGGCTGTGTGGTACAGGTCCTCTGCCCTCCACAGCCAGACGTGCTGGTCCTGGCTTCCTTCTCCTAACCCCAGGGTCTCATTGGCAGAACACTTTGAATAATCACTGTAAGAGGTTTTTTTTGGTGTTACTGTGTTTTGAACTTGGGACCTCATGCTTGCTAGGCAGGTGCTCTTGCTTGAGCCACTGTACCGGCTCATAGGAGTATTTCAAGTGTGTAAAAATTCTCCAGAAATTTGTCAGCTATCTCAGCCTCACATATTTGGCCAGGGCCAAAGGGTGTTCTCGGAGGTAGAGGTCCTTGTTTCCTGGAACCTGTTGCTTCTGATAAGACGTTAGCCTTCCTCGACTCATTTCCTGATGATGAAATTGATCCTTGAGGTAGAACACAGTCAAAGGGCCAACTCTGATGAGGTAGGAAATCATAATTCGTTATTAGAACAAATATTTTTATGAAATAAAACTATTTCCAACTACTTTATCAAAACAAATTCTGCCCTAATTTTTTTTTTTTTTTTGGTGGCACTGGGTTTGAACCCAGGGCCTCACGCTTGCTAGGCAGGCTTGAGCCACTCCACCACCCCTTTTTGTGACAGGTTTTTTCAAGATAGTCTTGGGAACTAATTCCCAGGCCTGGCTTTGAACCACGATCCTCCTGATCTCTGCCTCCTGAGTAGCTGGGATCACAGGTGTGAGCCACCAGCGCCCGGCCCGAACGTTTTGCTTTTATTTTAAATTTTTTCCTTTGCAGTTGCAGTTGTGGGGATGGAGCCCAGAGCTGTGTGCATGCTGAGCTGTACCCCGGCCTCCGACAGTGTTTTCATAAACAGGTCCTCATGCACGTCAGTTGGAGTTAATCGCTGTACATATCCTTCAGAAGGACTTGTTATGCTCAATTTGTAAAAGTGCATGCAGTGTCTCATTGATATTTTGCTTTGTTTTAAGAGGCGAACACAGAAACCTGTGTTCAGACTTCCCCACAGAGGAAATAGTGATACAGTCCAGGCCTGCACAGCAGTCATCATGCTGTGTACATATTCACTCAATTACAATACTCTGTCCCTTTTACAGAAGGGGAAACTGAGGCACAGAACGGTTGCAGGCAGCAGACAGAGGTCAATCAGCCTGGAGCATTACTTCTGTTGTGACTGTGTGACCATGGCTGGGCTGTGGATCACAGGGGTGGGTCTGGCCTGACCATGTTAAGGTTGCAGCTCTTTCAAGGTCACCTGTGTGATGTGCACAGAGGGAAGAGATGAGGGCCAGTGGAAGGACTGCAGCAATTAGAGCAGGTCAGGCCAGTTAACCCTGGGGATGCACTAAACAGCAGCCAGGAAGCCGGGTGATGTTGTAGCAGTGTTCAAACAAAAACTGGGGTTGTTCAAGGGAGTGAGTAGGTGGCAGAGGCACTGAGTCATTGCTTGGAGGTGCCTGCTGTGGACGTGTGGATTTTGACTTGTCCTGCCTGCATGGAGACAAAGCCACGTGCATTGTGGTACAGGACAATGGCTGATTCCTCCACATTGGAGTGTAGAGACCATCTGTTCCACACGGCTTCACCAGGGGTCCCCAGAGCTCTGCTGTGCAGCAAGCCCTGCCAAGAGTGCCCCGTCCAGAGTGGTCCAGTCTTTGGGGGACTGTGCCGCTTTGCTGTGTGAGCGCAGAGCTTCCAAGCTTTCTCTGTAAAGGACCAGGTCGTGCCAAGATCACTCCCTGTAGCACAAGGTGCCCTGGGCAGTTCAAGAAAGTACGAGTGATGGGGGTCGCTTTCCAGCAACACTTTGTTGAGACATCCTGAAATATAAATTTCATTCAGATTTTACTTTGTCATAAAACACAATTCTTTAAAAACCAGTGAAAACTGGAAAGTCCATTCTTAGCTTGAGGAACCAGCAGGACATGTGACCTTTTTTTGGGGGGAGGGCAGAACTGGGGTTTGAACTCAGGGCCTTGACCTTGCTAGGCAAATGCTTTACCACCTGAGCCAGTTTTTTTTGCTTTTAGTTTGATTTTCAGATAGTCTCCAGTTTTGCCCAGGCTAGCCTCGAGCATCGATCCTCCTTCCTCTACCTCCCAAGGAGTGTAGTTCTGTGCCATTGTGCCCAGCTCTGACTTGTGAGTCTTGGGGGGGCTTTTCTGCTTGTTCTGTAAGAATGGAGTTCCAGATGGGGGAGAAGTTCAAGACATTTGAGGCTCTCTGTTGTCCGCTCCCCTAATATCTGTAGAGGTTTTAGAGCCGTGCCAGTAAGGGTGTCAGCTATAATCTTATAATTACTGCATTTTACATATGTGTGGGGAAATGGTTTTACTTTCTGCAGGCTTTGAAGCTAATGTGTTCTTGGGAGTTCGCTAGCCACAGTGGACAAATCTGTGAGGACACTGACAGCACACAGCAGTAGCTGTCCACCTCCAGTGTAGACCAGCTGCTTTTGGTGCACTTGAGAGTAGGGGAAGGGGAGCATTTGGGTGGCACTGAACCTACCATGTAATGTGTTGTGCGTATTCTCACAGCCATCAATGTCACACGGTCTCCAAGTGTCAGCGTAATTCCTCTTTTTCACCTGGAGTTGTAGCCCTGTGCGTGCGCTAATCCTCGTGTTTCTCCTTTCAGCTACTTGTACAAGAATGAGATCCAGTCAATTGACAGGCAAGCGTTTAAGGGACTTGCCTCTCTAGAGCAACTGTAAGTGCCCCTCTCTTCTGTGCTTGCGTTTCTTGGCTGTCACCTGCCCTTTTGCCTCCTGTAGGGAGGAGTGGAGCAATCTGATGTCTGCATGATGCATGACTGTACTACCTGGGTGTAGGGAGGATGCATGACAAGAAAAGTGGCAAGGGGCCAGTTACTCACCTGTCTCTGCCCTCACCCCAGGCGTCACCTGATAGCAGACATTTACTAGGTTTCTTCTGTGCACGAGACTGGATCATGCATACGTGATTCCAGGAACAGTAGGATGGGTCCCTGTGTCACACTGCGGTTCTCACTTACAGTGCAAAGACTACATGCAAACAAGTCAGAGCAAGTAAGGGCATTTGTGGTCAGAGCATCCAGGGCTGCGTGGGACAAGAGGCCATGTGCACTGCACACATGGGGTTTAATTCTTCAATCGTTATGTCACTGTTTGGGAGAAACACTGCTCCCTTTCCCCCCATGTCGTGGATACCCAGATGTGGGTGCTCTGCTTTTTTGGCCACACATGAAACTGTACTTTGCTATGAAGTCAGCATGTTAATTTTTTTCTGGTGGAACTGTGAAGGCTTTTTCTGGTGTTTGCCTGGCCAGTTGCCTTTCACTTCGTGAGCTGAAGCAAGGCCTGTGGGAATCAGGTTGTCAGGGGCTTTACCCACGTGAGGGGAAGCAGCCGTTTTGTGTTCTCCTCCAGACATCTGTCGTCTGCTTCCATGTTTCACTGGGAGCTGGGCACCACAGGCAGGAGAGGGGCAGGCAGAACCTGAGAGGTCCTGATGTGTTCACGTGAGAGTGGCTTTCCCGTGCCGCCGGACAGTGCACGAGCACATTCGGGAAGAACGTATATGAGGCCCCCTAGAACAATCTGTGCTTCAGAGAGAATGAAACAAAGGCTCAGGCCACTGCAGAAACTCATGGGGATACCTAGAGGATGTGCAGGCGGACAAGGAGTTTGCAAAGGTTCTCATCATGGGGCCCGTAATAGGACTGACTTCCTAAGGAGGTGGAGTCCAGTGAGGGGCACAGATGGGGAGGAAGTAGGTAGAAGAGGAAGGTGGCACCTGTGAGCTAGTGACGGGCTTTCTGCCCAGTATTTCAGTGGCTGGCGACAGCATCTCATCACAGCTGGACAGCCCAGGCTTGGGCTTGCCTGAGCTTGGACTTCCTTCTGTGCACGCTGTGGTGTGTGGCAGGAGGTCAGTGTGTCCAGAGAACTTGGGTCTCGTGCCCCTGCTGACATTTCTGAAGCACCTGTGGCCTGGTGGCAGAGGGGCGGGGAGAGGTGTCAGCTCCTGCTGGTCTCTACCAACCCCATCCTGGCACCTGAGCCCCTCTACAGCCCTGTGCGTCCTCTCCTGCCACAGGGGAGGCTGGGAAGCACGATGTCATGGATCTGAGGACAGAGGCCGTGGAACTCTGCTGAAGTCAGCCAAGCTCCTTGGGAGGCTGTTGGTAGGAATCAGAAAACTCTCCTGGTCAGAATCGGGAGCTGAGCTCTAAATCCAGCACTGACCTCTGTGAACCTGGAGGTCATGACTTGTCCTCATTTCCTCAGCTGTACAGGGAGGGGTGATGGTGCCCAAGGCTGCCTGGAGCCCAAGCCAGTCCAGGGTTCTGGAAACCCGACAGCAGCCTTCCTGAGCGCTTTTGAAAGCAGACCTGAGTCTTACCTGCTCCTCCTTCCTGGCCAGCCTGCACTGTGGAGTCCAGGTGAAAGGGTTTTTAAGACAAACCACTCTACCTTGGAACTCAAATGTCCTCATTTTCTTTCCTCCATTGACTTTGGCTTTTCTTCTGTGTTAGCTCTGGAGTCTTCTGCCTTGATGGCCAGCCAAAGTCTTCCTCAGCAGGGCACCTGTGTTGATGGTGTCCGTGTCTGAGCTGCTGGGGCCAGGGGCCATGAGGACCATGTGTTATTGATCCATGCACTGCCCACACAGGCAGGCAGCCATGGTGGGACTTGGGTTTGGTCCTGTCTCCTTTGGGATATCCTTTGGATCAGACACTGTCGTTGATCTCACTGGCCTCAGTGTCCTTCCTTTTCTTTCTCCATTTCATGCTTTTCTGGCATTGTCCAGTTTTATTTGGAGAGTGGTAGGCACAAACCTGTCCCTGAGGGTCAGAGAGGCCACTGTTCCTGTGTCCCTGAGGCCCAGCTTCTGCCCTGAAGGCTGTGGCCCCTCAGAGATGAGGAGTCCCTGAGCTGGTTCTGCCCTGGTGCTGCCCAGGGGGAAGAATCTGAGTTTGGGGACCTTGAAGTGACAATAATTTCAGAGTCAAAAGTGGTTACTGAGCATGAGGCGTGAGAATTCTTTTGTTTAGATTTGTGGAAATGGCCAGAAACTGTTGGTGGGTTGATTCTGCTAGTAGCTTTGGGCTCCAGTCCCTCATTGAGAAAGAGTGGTTTGTTACAGTGGACGCCCAGATGGAGGCCTCTCTCTGAGCTGGACCTGGGCAAGAGGTCTCCCTGAAGTGACAAAACTAGGGTTCAGGAGAATTAGAAGAAGTTAATTATATCAAACATTCATAAATTGTGGGGAGTAGGAGACATGGAAAGAAGTATAAACTGGGCGTTTTGTACAGTTAGAGGATCTTGAGGACTGGCAACGCCTCCCCTAGGTAACAGCCCTTCTCCTTTTTCCTCAGTGTGACAGTCACGTTAAACTCATGCCCCTGCAAACAAGTTAGGCAACCTGGGTTCAGGAGCCCACCTAAGCATATGGGTGCCATCTTGAAGGCTGTGCTTCTGTTTTTTGTTTTTGTTTTCAATTCCTCTGTGTTGGGGAGATGAGAGTGTCAGACTGGGCCACCGTCCTGCTGCCTGGGCCCTGGCAGACTCAGCATCTAGACCTGAAGTTCCTGTGGGGCAGGCGGCTGTGTGACAGGCTGGGCCTGGTCTCTGACTGTGTTTGATCTCCTTGTTTGGCTGTGTCACTTGTCCTCCACACAGCATAGGAAGGATAGAGAGGAATCTGGTGACACAAATCGAGTGACTTGGGAAAAGTTTTCTGAGCAGAACATCTGGACTGAGAAAGCCACTGAATTTTCACATTCTGTCTCTTTTTCAAACTCCTGCAGATACCTGCACTTTAACCAGATAGAAACCCTCGACCCGGAATCCTTCCAGCACTTACCGAAGCTTGAGAGACTGTGAGTGGTGTCTCCTTCTTACCTTCCGCACCGTCAGGTCCTGGGCCCGTCTGCACCCTGCTCGGTGGACTCAGGCAACACCTGCCAGATACCTTTGCATTACTTTGTGTAAAATTCCCCTTCTTAGCTTCACAGTCAGAGGAGGGGCTCATGATTTTCTCTTTACGTGGGCCTGGAGCTAAAAATACCGTTATTTTCTGGTCCAAAGAGCATTGCTCTTAAATTTGTTTGTATTAAGTAAATGTGACTAGTAGGTCCTCTAAAATGCCAGTGTGTGACTGCTGCTGCTTCTCTCCACCTTTCTAGGGAGCAATTTTAAAAATTAGCTTTTATTTTCTCTTGTGACAGATTCTTACATAACAACCGGATCACACATTTAGCTCCAGGGACATTTAATCACTTGGAATCTATGAAGCGGTTGTAAGTATGACTGACACCTGTGTGCAGCTCCACGGGAAGCTTTTTCTCCCAGCCACCCTCTCTGTTCCTGCCGGACCTCACAGAGCTGTGGTAGGGAGGTTAGACCCATCCAAATGCAGGACTGGACGGGACTCGGATTGGCAGTGAGCTAATCTTTAGACCAGGCACGGTTTTTAAGATGATGCTTAAATTCTTCAAATTGATTTTTAAAACCACGCTGTGTGTTTCATTGGTGAGACAAAAAACCAGCCTGTGAAGATTGTTTGCACTCTCTTCCTCCCTGTCCCATTTTTGGGATCCACTTAGCTGAAATGTATAAGCAGACTGAATAAAGTCTACCCAGGTTTTCAAGACCTCCGCAAACAACCTTTCCTATGCTGGCTGGTTCGATAACAGAATCAAGGCCTGTGGTACTGATGGAGAAAGTCTCAGCCTTGGACAGCCTTGTGTTTGGTCTCAAAGGCATTTTTCAGCTAGGTATTGCTGAAATACTGAGTGTCTGCAGTGAGACACTCAGAAGCAGCCTCAGAAACAGAAGCAGCCTTGGTCCAGGCAGAAGCAGAGCTCAGAGGAAGCAGTCTAGTCCCCATGGGTTTTTTTTTTTTTAAATCTTTTCAGTGAGGTAGAGTAAGACATAGACCATCACGACTGTTTTGGTTTCTTTCTTTAGAAATCACCAGCCACACTAAGATCCACCTTGTAGGTGGGAAGATTGGATGAACCCTTCCATGTTGGAACACTGTTCAGAGCCCTCCTTCTTTCCAAAGGCCTGCTGGCTCCTCCTGGTGGGCTTGGGCTAGGCTTCCCCTCACTCTGACCAGAAGCTGCCCAGGGCAACCCAGCTCTCGGGCCTCCTTAGGGATGTGGGAGGATGGAGGCGATGCATAGCACTACAGTGCCCTGTGATGGAACCCAGCAGTGGGGACAGCTGTGGGCTGTGATTTGTCACTGGCTTTCCTGAATGGCACCCACGCATTCTCCTTGGGGAACTACTCTGACTCATCCAGTCACACTCGCCCTAAGTTTTCGTCACTCCTGGGCTCTGTGTCTCTTGTTGGGTTTGGAGTGCGCTCTGAGTTCTTTCTGTTGGTAGCCATACTCTTTGCCTCCTTTCCTCTGTTTGGCAGGACAGGTTTTAGATTTCACCTCTAAGTCCCACTCCATCACATGCCAGGTGCCCAGTGGACACAGGACCTAGAGATCTGTCTGTCCAGAGAAGATCTACGTCCCCTGTGGCTCCTGGGTCCCACGGGCTGCTGCTTTTCCCCACAGGCGGCTGGACTCAAACGCACTCCACTGTGACTGTGAGATCCTATGGCTGGCAGACCTGCTGAAGACCTACGCCCAGTCAGGGAACGCGCAGGCAGCGGCCACCTGCGAGTTTCCCAGGCGTATCCAGGGGCGGTCAGTGGCGACCATCACCCCAGAAGAGCTGAACTGTGGTGAGTGGGCCCTGGAGCCCCTGCTGGGCCAGGTCCCCACCAGGCTGGGCTCAACCCTGGGTTGGTGTCATGGAGACCTTGGCACATCTGCAGCTGTCACTGGCTGAAACCGTGTCACTGTGCAGGGAATGTTTGTGACTGAGACGTGTTTAGACATTGTGGTTTTTCTCTGCGACACGAGGTTCAGTTTGGGGTCTCACTGACGTCCACCTCGAGTTTAGGCAATGACTTCCTTTCCTTGTTGGGTGCAGAAAGGCCCCGGATCACATCAGAACCCCAGGATGTAGATGTCACCTCTGGGAACACCGTGTACTTCACCTGCAGGGCCGAGGGCAACCCCAAACCTGAGATCATCTGGCTTCGAAACAAGTGAGTGGGGCAGGGCAGAAATGCCTTCTGAGCACCATGCTCAGCCCTTGGGGTTCATCCAGACACCTGCGAGGTCCACTGTGTCTCCTCACCTTGGTCAGACGCTGCCCTGTTCTCCCCTCTCCAGGTAGAAAGTGAGAAGGAGACAAAGATCCCACTCTTTCCCTCTCCCACATGGCACCAGGAGGCACTCCGGGCACCGAGACCCCTGTGGAATGACACCTCCACTTGGTGGAGTTCATTCCTCCCAGGCCACTGTCCCTTCCTCTAGTCAGCTATTAATTACTGGGAAGCTCGACACCCTGTGTCCTGCTGGGTGGAACCTGGGAAGCATAGTTGGTTTGTCTCTGTCTGCCTCCTTCCTCTGGCTGGGGTTTCTGTCTGTCATTGGTGTTAGCAAGCTTTGGACTTGGGCCACGTGACAATGACTCAATGGTGGGGATAGGGTGGGATTGGACTCCACTGGGCCAGTGTTCTCTGGACATAGTGCTAATGTGAGCCAGGAGCCCACATGGGCTCCCTCAGCTTCCTGGAGACTTCTTCCAGAAGTTGGCTTCTGCTCCCCAACTTCCACAAACACTTAGAGGGGCTATCAAGGTTGAGACCACCCCACTCCTGGTAGCAGGTGCTCACAGGTGGCAGAAGGAAGTCACACACGCCAGCATGTGTGTCAGTGTGGGGAGCACCCTCCCCACTGGGCTTGGGAGCTGTGCTGTTGGACTAAGAGAAGAGGAGGGGGCTAGGGAGAGAGGTGAAAAGGGACCAGGCAGCTTACGACCACAGTGTAAGGACTGGCTGAAGTGGGAGAGGGACACAGATATTATTTAATTCTCAGAAATAAGGGAAAATGTTTCATTTGAATTTCTCCCCCATGTTTGTTTTTCCACGTGAAAGCATTTAGGTAGATGGGACACGAGAGCAGGAGAAACAGACGTGTGGATTGAATAGTGGTGCAAATGCACAGCCCCTTCTCAGAAATGCCTGCCGCACCAGAGAGCAGTCAGGAGAACACATCCCCGAAGGCCAGCTCTACCCTCCTGACTCTCTCACATGTCTCCTGCATTGTGGGTCCTGCAGCCCACTGCAGGATTAAGGCCTCCCAGGGTGGATGCACCGTTTCTCTGCATTAAACACTTGCTTACCAGACCTCTGTCTTTGTAGTAACGAGCTGAGCATGAAGACCGATTCCCGCCTAAACCTGCTGGATGATGGGACCCTGATGATCCAGAACACCCAGGAGGCAGACCAGGGTGTTTACCAGTGCATGGCCAAAAATGTGGCCGGAGAGGTGAAGACGCACGAGGTGACCCTCAGGTACTTTGGGTCTCCAGGTAGGTGGAGAGCATTTCGCAAATTACTTCCTCCTTTTGTCTTGTTTCCCTTCTTCCTTCCCTCCTTCCTTCCTCCCTCCCTCATTCCCTCTCTTTCTTCCCTGCTTATTTCCTCCCTTCCTTTCCTTCCTTCCTTCATTCCTCCTTTTGTCTTCCTTCCCTCCTTTCTCTCTCTCCTTCCTCCCTTCCTTCGTCCTTTTGTCTTCCTTCTCTCCTCCTCTCTCTCTTTCTTTCTTTCCCTCTATCCCTCCCTCCCTGCCCCGTTCCTTCCTTTCTTGGTGGTGCTGGGTTGTTGAAACTTGCAAGGCAGATGCTCTACCACTTGAGCCATGATACCACCCCTTTTTGCTTCAGGTACTTTTGAGATAGGGTCTCACTCACTAAGTGCCCTAGAGGGCCTAGACCCAGAGTCTTCCTATTTGTGTTTTCCCAAGTAGCTGGGATGACAGGCACCTATCACCACAACCAGCTTTTATTGGTTGAGGTCTTGTGAACTTTTTGCCCTGCTTGGCCTTGAACTTATGTCTGTCTGTTCCCCTCCTCCTCCTGAGTAGCTGGGATTACAGGCTTGAGCCCAGACCACTTGCTCCTTTTTTTGCACTGCAACTCAGTAGAGTAAGGGTTGTTAAAGTCTCAAGTTCCCTGTGTGAGAGTCGGCCCCAAAGGGTTCTGAAGCAACAGAGGGCTGCTCTGCTCTACAGTCAGCCCTAATCTGGGACACACTAGGATTTTCTGAGTCACACCACATCAAGGCAGGTGATGCATGGGTGACTGAAAACCTGACCCACCTCCCACCTCTGGGCCTGATTAGTTTCTGCTCAGCCACTTCACTTCCGTGATTAAAATGTCACATAATTGTTAAAATGTGAACCCTGTCCAAGCCACGGGCAGCACGCACAGCTGTGGCCTCTGGTCCATCTGCCCCATAGGTGGTTAGCTATGTTCAGTCCGAGTTCCATGGTCAGGAGAGGAGTGAGGAGCCTGTGCTGCTCCATGCATTGCGGGGCCCTTCCCCGACATCGTCTGGGGCTCTGGGAGCCCAAGTGAAGGCAGTAATGGCTCCCTCCACCACCACCACCACCCTGGTGCCCAAGCCAGGCTGAGCTCTCCCTCCTCAGCGAGGCTCCTCCCTGCCTCAGCTTCCTCCACAGCCTTGCCAGGGCTGTCTGTGCCCTAGTACTTCATATTCAGGATGTCATCAAGCCAGGCTGATGGCAACACACCTGGCTTTGAGCTTGCTCAGCTACTTGAGACTTGCACATCCCAGCATAGACACAGCTGAGAATTCCCAGCTGCCACCTTTCATCCAGGGGAAGTGAGAGGGAGTGCTGAGCAGAGAGAGTCCTTAAGCCACGTGCAGTAGGTTTGCACGAGACAGTGAGCGCCTGGCAAACTGCTGCTGGAACCTACAGAGAGAAGCAAGGCAGGGTGTCACTGTAAGCAAGAAAACAGCTCACCAGAGTGGGAAGACAGTAAGATGCGACTGTAGGTGTGGGACAAAGCACAGGAGAACAGCCATGGACAGGAGGGACATTTGTGAGAAGAACATGCCTGTGCAGGGGAGATTTGACCAGCTTTCTGTGGCCTGAGAGTTCTAAATTTCACTCCTTTTGATCTGAATTCTACTTCTTTCTCAGGCCAACAGCCTTATTTAGTGAATTTAGAGTGAGTGTGGTGGCAGGCCTGGCCAGGGGGTGCAGACCACACCCTGCGGCCAAATCTGGCCATCCCCTGCTCTTCTAAGTCTATTAATTGAGAATAGTTCTGATTTTTTTTAAAGGATAGAAAGTTGAATAATAATTTATGGCACCTGGCAATTTTGTGAAATTCACATTGTTGTGTGTGTAAGTTAAGTTCCGAGACCATGACCACAGTCATGCTTCATGTGTTGCCAGGCTGCAGTGGCCAGGCTGAGGACTGGCAGCACAGACTGTGGCCAGCAAAGCCCATGGTCACCAGCCCCTTGGGCTTATAGGAAACGTGACCCCTGCCCTGTACTGGTGGTAGAAATACAGGTACTGGGATAAATGGTCTTATGTATTTTGAAATTCTGCTGTTAGTTGCGTATGACTCTGCAGTTGTTATTTTCTTGGTGAATTAAACCTTTGCTCATTAAATTATTATTGTTATTGTTATTTTTGTAGTATGGGATTTGAACTCAGGGCCTCACTCTTGCCAGGCAAGCAAGAGCCACTCCACAAGAGGCTTAAAATTATGCTATTTCCCATTTCCTCCTTATAGTACCTTGAGAGTGTCAGTTTATTTTAGAAAATGTTAAGTGCATTCTTAAATTATTGGTCTAAAGTCATTTATCTTTCTCTCCAAAATCAATTGTCCATCTTAGTTTTTGTGCTTTTGAGTTTTGCATATTTTTAATTTGTAAAACTTTCCTACTGTCTTGTTCATTTTTCTTCTCTTCCCTCCCTTCTTTCTTTGCTCTTATTTTTTCTCTCTCTTTCTCCTCCCTACTCTCTCTCCCTCTCTCTTGGAGGTCACTGTCTTATACCTGGAGTGAGGTGAAGTAGGTGGAGATGCCCTGTGAGGTCCAGCCTCTGGCTGGTGGCTCTTCCATGAGAACGTCCCCCCTGAGCTTGGGCGGGGGACATCAACCTTCTCTCCCACCGATGGTGCAGTGGCGGTGTGGCCCAGCTGCAGTTTCTGTTTTACTCCTTGTGTGGGGAATGTTACGGACTTGTCTTGTCTCCTGTATCCCAAAGGCTCCTTAAAGCCAAATTCAAATACACAGTTCTGCAGAATTGACTTGCGTGGGTTCTTATCTCTGAGTACCTTTGCAGTCTCTAGTCTGTCAGCTTGATAGAAATGCTGATATTAAGTGTCAATTATGTATTTTTAATAACTTATCCTTATGTATCATTTGATTGGCACAACTCACACATTAATAGTATAAAAAGAGGCAGAAAAATCCTCTTCTATCGCTCCCCTTCCTCTACTCAGTCCCTGCACCCCATTAGACTTCCCCAAACGCCTTCTATGCAGACAGGATTTTGTACCAATAGGAATGACCAGCAAGGTCTCAGGAGACTGACGAGACGTATTTGAGAGCACTGGGCTCTCCTGGGCTCTGGTGTAACCAGGGAAGAAATCTGCTCGCTCTTCTCACCGTGCTGCTCACCGGCTACCACAGCTGCCAGGCCTCAGCACGGGGACGTTTCATTGACTGCACATTTCTTTTAAGATGCCATTAAGTTTTGTTGATTTTGCTTATTTTAGAGGAAAATAGAATGAGCAGGCAGAACATAGAGAATGTCAATCAAAAGTCTCGTGAAACTGGAGAAGATTAATTGACAATTTCTGTCTGTGACAGCCCGACCCGCTTTTGTAATCCAGCCGCAGAACACAGAGGTGTTGGTGGGCGAGAGTGTCACCCTGGAGTGTAGTGCCACAGGCCATCCTCTGCCACAGATCACCTGGACAAGAGGTGACCGGTCGCCCTTGCCAGTAGACCCTCGGGTGAATATCACCCCCTCTGGTGGCCTCTACATCCAGAACGTCGTCCAGAGCGACAGCGGGGAGTACACCTGCTTTGCGTCCAACAGTGTGGACAGCATCCACGCTACCGCCTTCATCATTGTGCAGGGTGAGCGTCCGAGCAGAGCTAGGGCCGGGCCTGGCTGGCCCCAGCGCTGTGCTTGAATGCCCTTTGGAGCCTAGACCCAACCTCCTGGTCCCCCTTAACTTGCTTTGTTTTAAACATAACACTCCACCTGACCGATTGCACATGATTTGTTCAGGAGGGTGGGGCTTTGCTACTGGGCTGTGGTGTCCAGAGCACCCGGTACTGGCAGGCATGCGTGTGTGTGCAAGATGCCCTCCCATCAGTAGTGAATGTGTATGCACAGTGCTCACAGTCTAGAGAGTCCGTGTGTGTACCACACAACAGCTGTGATTGTCACTGAGCTCACAGTATGGTCAGTGTGTGCACCGTGCAGACAGTTGCAAATGAGTTTCTAAGGTCACTTTTTGAACACAGGACTTAGCAAGTTGGTAGTTTTAAGGTTTTGCTGTTTATTTCTGAATTGCTTAATTGACCTTAAATTGAATTTGTTTTTAGATCACTTATGAAATGGGGTATTTTTTGGGAAGCTCTCAAACATTACAGAATTACAAAATGTGGAACGCTATTGTTACCTGTCTGTACAACCATCTCCTGCCTCACGGACAGTCTGTTGTGTATTTCCTTCTAGTTTCACATACAGCTATGTACACACAGCTTTGTACACAGCTTTGCAGCCTTGGGAGGAGGTTTTGCTGTCTTGTACTTGTTGCTTTTATAAAAATGGAGTCCTGGTAGACTCCACCCAGTCGGAGTAACTCCTGTCATTTTCTCCTGTGTGAGAGGTGTCACGTTTAACCATTTGCACGTTAGTGTGGATGGAGCAATGGATGACACAAGCCTTCTTACCCAGCCTCGCCACAGGTGATGCGTGTGTCAACCATGCTTTGGGTCCGTGGTCGTGGCAACGCCTCTGAATGCGCCCAGTGTGCTGCTGAATACTCTTCCTTGCCCGCTTACCTTCCTGTCTTCAGCAGCTTCCTTCCCTTCCTTGCCTGTGCGTAGCTGTCACGCCCTAGTCGTGTCCCATGACAGTGCTTTTGGGTGGCATTTTCACCCTCTGCTGTCCCTAAATGTCCCCTGTGGCTGTCATCCCCAGCTCTTCCTCAGTTTACTGTGACTCCGGAGGACAGAGTGGTCATTGAAGGTCAGACTGTTGATTTCCAGTGCGAGGCGAAGGGCTACCCCCAGCCAGTCATCGCGTGGACCAAGGGAGGTGAGCTTCAGGCCCTGGCCCTGCTGGGCCCTTTCCTGACCTCTCCTCTTGGACACAGACCAGAGACAGGTGGTTTTCCCTTGGCCGACAAAACTAGCCTCCTCCCCGTAGGAGCAAGCTGTGGCCAGATCGCACATACCAGGTGCTGCGAGAGGACGGAGGTGTCCCAGGTACAATGTGGTCCCCTTGTCCACAAGGGTGGCACTTGTGGGCATCATGACCAGAATACTGTGGGGCTCCATCCTTGCTGAAGGGACTGGGTGTCTGCTTCTCCCCTCTGCACCTTGCCCTTAACGGACACCTCACTTGAACCTCACAGCAGGTGGGACGGAATGTCCTTGGTCACCCTCAGAATCAAGAAACAAACCAAGGCCTTTCCACTGGCTCTGACTCCTGGGCTCTCACCGCCATTCTCCATTGGGTGTATGACTGCTGACCGCAGGAACTCTTAGCCTAATCCTAGCCCACAGGGCCAGCAGTGTCCAGCTTCTGGGGCCGCTTCTGCCCCAACAGTCAGTGTTCCTATCCTGTGATCTGGACAGGGTCCCTAGAGATCACCCAGGCACTCTGGCTTAAACCAAGGCTACCACGTACACTTCTCCTGAGAGACCCTGCCCAGGGCTGCTGGGGAGCAGACGGGCTGGTGGCTGCCAGGGTCAGAGATTTATCCACAAAGCAATGTGTGGCACCTTGCATTGAATCCTTAAGTGGCCCAGCCCTCAGGCCCTATCCTGCCCTATCTTCCCAGACCTAGTTTGGGACCAGTCCTCAGACACCTGAGTCCCCGTGTCATCCTGGCCCTTATTTGACCTTTTCTCTTTGTAATCTGACCCTCTGCCCTTTCCTGGGAGTTACTGGGACAGAGTAACTTGAGTAACTGTCCTTGAATGGACAGTGGGATGTGTAGTGTCCCACGTGAGTGTCTGAGCGTCTGCTCAGTGGCTGAGGGTAGGCTACCTAAGGGCAGGAGCAGCCATTAGTGTGCTGACCCCGGCAAAGCCCAGCTTCAGAGATAGATTCCCTCAAGTCCTGTGCCCCTTCTCCTGACTCAGAAGTTCCAGTGACCAGCGTGACCGATGTCACCTCCTTGCAGGAAGCCAGCTCTCGGTGGACAGACGGCACCTGGTGTTGTCCTCGGGTACACTCAGGATCTCTGGGGTGGCCTTGCACGATCAGGGCCAGTACGAGTGTCAGGCGGTCAACATCATTGGCTCCCAGAAGGTTGTGGCCCACCTGACGGTGCAGCCCAGAGGTAGGCTCCAGGGTTGGGGTCAGGTCAGTGGATTTTGTTCAGGTCTAGTTTCCCACAGGGACACCAATGTCACTGTCAATTGTAGTGTTTACTCTTCTCTTCTCTGTATTTCATGTGACATCAGTGAACTTGCATTCCCAAGGAGTGTGTGGGATAGTTAGTTAAATCTCTTTCCCTGTAGCTCACGGAAACTTTTGTTTGTCTTGTGTGACGCTCCCACTGAACTAGGTGAGGCTGCCTGTTAGAGCCATGCCATCTGTCTCCCCTTGGTTAACCATGCCCACTTTAGTGAAGGGTGTTGCAACTGCACCTTCTGAGGTGACTCCTTAGGAAATGCAGGGCTGCAGCCAGCTCTGCATGCAGACCTCAGCTGTGTCACGGGAGGGGCACTCTGGTCCCTCCTATCTGCCTGTCTTCCTTTTGCCCTCTTGCCTTTCCTCCAGTTAGAAGAGTCCTTGCTTCCTTTCCTCCCTCTTGGCAGAGCCAGGATTAAAAGACCAAAGAGCATCATCCAGCACAAAGGTCACTGAAGTGACGGCTGGAGCTGAGATGGACCTGGCCACCCAGCCCTGAGGGTGTGTTTGGAACCTGGAGACAGGGTAGAGAGCAGCAGGTGGGGCCCGAGGGCTTTTGAATTCCCTGGGGCCCTTGGGAAGGGTCGACCTGCTCAACTCTGGGTTTTGTGGGTGTGCCCTCCTTGGTGTCTAGGGAAGTACATCACATGCATAGTTTGGGATTCCTGAAAGGTGCCCAGTCAACCCCAGGGAGCCAAGGTCCCTCCTTGTAGGATGAGAAAGCACTGCTGTCTGGCCCTGTGTTTCCTTCCTCTGAGCGACAGGCTCTCTCCATACTTCATTGTGTCCTCAGTGGGCTGCACAGGACAGCAGCTGGGCCAGCCCTGGAGCTGTTCACCTCTGAGCAGAGAGGTCTTTGTTACAGTCACTCCATGCCACTGCTGTTAGAGCCCAGGGCAGGAAGCAGGAGGAAGTTCATCTCTGAATCCTTAGGCAGCTGTGCTCTGTGCAGAGGCTGCTGGGGCCCCTGGGTCAGCCTGAGTGTGGGGTTCAGCTCTTCTGAGGCATTTTGGTGTAAATTCCCACTGTGCTGGATGCTGCACGCTTTTCTTCCAGTCACCCCAGTGTTCGCCAGCACTCCCAGCGACCTGACAGTAGAGGTGGGCACCAATGTGCAGCTCCCATGCAGTTCCCAGGGGGAGCCCGAGCCAGCGATCACCTGGAACAAGGTATGACTGCCCACCATACTGAGCTGCTGATGTGTGATGTGGTGGCCGCCACCCATTTCCCCTGCAGACTTTCTGCTCAGAATGAAAACACTCATGTTGTAAGCTGGGGTTAAAAATATCCCAAGGTATCCTTACGAACAGGAGCACGGTGAGCTTCAGCCTTCCCTTTCATCCAAAGTGAGAAAACTCTGTAGACCCAGTCTCATCACAGCAAAGGCAGGTTTTGTTATTTTGTTTTTCTTTGCTGTTTGTATCCAACCAATATGGCAGTGTCTGTAGAGCTCACACACTGTGGACATCAGGTGGTCCCTGTCCTCTACCTGTTCTCTTCTCTCCAAGTCCACCGTGGCCTGGCAACATAGCTCTGTGTCTGTCCCTGAATTGTCCTCTTTCCCAGACATTCCTAGGTGTCCATGTCTCTGGGTCTTCCCCACAGTAGCTCAGTTTGTGGGAGTTAATTATGTTCCCCATATTCATGGGGCAATGACCTTTTGCACGAAGCTCTGTCCTCAGCAAAGGATAAGTGTGAGAGAGAATTGTGTTCAGTGTCCTCGCCTTTCCAGGCTGGGGTGCATGTGAGCACAGCTTCTGCCATACTTCCATTAGTGAAGTCTTGACAGGCAGCCCCACATCTGAGAAAAACTTCAGCTTCCCAGCCTTACTGTTTTTATTGCTTTGCCTCAGGATGGGGTTCAGGTGACGGAAAGTGGTAAATTTCACATCAGCCCCGAAGGATTCTTGACCATCAACGATGTTGGACCTGCAGACGCCGGTCGTTACGAGTGTGCGGCCCGGAACACGATTGGGTACGCCTCGGTTAGCATGGTGCTCAGTGTGAGCGGTAAGTGTGCATGAGGCGGGCGGCCTTGGCCATGGGTGGAGGAAGCACAATGCCAGGCCTCCCCACCACCACAGGGTGTCAGCGTGGAAAGATGTTCAGAACGGTTCAGAAGACAAATGGGGCCAGGCCCCTGTGGCTCACACCTGTAATCCTAGCTTCTCAGGAGGCAGAGATAAGGAGGTTCCAAGCCAGCCTGGGCAAATAGTTCCTGAGACCTTATCTTGAAAAAAAACCCACCACAAAAAAGGGCTATGGAGTGACACAAGTGGTAGCACCTGAGACCTCAGTTCAAACCCCAGTACTACAAAAAAAAAAAAAAAATCCCATGTGTGGTTACAGGCGTCATTTGGCAAGGACACTGTCATCAAAGACCCCACCCCTCCAGCTATTCACTTCTGGCTCTGGCCACATTTAACCTAGCGTGTCCTTCCGGGTAGTTCTTTAAGTATGTGTGTAGTCTCTCTACATCCTTTTTTGTGTCTGTCCCTCTGTGTCCTCAACTCTGGCCGCTGCCCTGCTGTCTGTGTACCTTGTTCAGTCGGGGGGAAGAGGAGTATCAAGGGTTTTGTTTGAACACGGTGAGGTCAAAGAGCCTGGAGGAGACAGGTGAGTCAATAAATCTGGAGCCCAAGGGAGCCACTGGACTGACGGTGTCAATCTGAGAACAGTAAAACCCTGGGGAAGTCTGTGGAGGGACAAGGACTGGCTGCTGCACCCTGGGGTGTCCCAGCAGCCAGCAATCCATCAATGAAACAAAAATTAGCAAAAAGACACCCCAGAGTCAGTCAGTGAAGACATGACACCATAGACTAAGAAACAGGGCTATGTGCCGGTCAGTCGAAAGGAGAGAGGGGAGGGACAGGATAAGTGCAAGATAGAGCCCCCTGTGGCAGGAGGAAATGAGGAAGTGTACCCAGGTGGAGGAAGGTATTCCCCACTTGGGAGGAGAGCCATTCCAACCGGAAGTGGTCTATCCGAGTGGGGAAGAGGTCTTATCTCGGGAACTAAGTGAAGGGCACAGATCAATAAGGTCACTTCCCACTGTATGTGGAGAATATCACCATTGGGCTGATGACGATGACAGTGAGTGACCAGGCAAGAACCGTTTCAGTAGTTAGGGCGAGAGTGGTTGCAATGAAGTGGTTGTGTTTGGTGAGCTGTGAGTATTAGGTGGAAAAGGGTTGAAGAGAGAAAACTAGAAAGTGTGCAGCTCCATTGTCTGACAGGTTGCGTGTTCATGTGTGTGTATATTCATGTCTGTACTCACGTAGTGTGGTGTTTATATGGAGGGTGTGTGTGTCTGTGGCATTGTGTGTCTGTGTGGTACGTGTGTAGTGTGGCGTTTATGTGGTGTGTGTGTGTGTGTGTGTGAGAGAGAGAGAATGAGGAACGGCCCTCCGTAAAGATGTGCCAATGGTGGCAGTGCCAACCAGGGGTAAGGGATGGGTGATAAGAGCACAGACGTTTGAGAGTTGAGGGGCTGAGTCCAGCATCAGGATGGCTGGACATTTGGGGGAAGAACACAGACCCCTGGGATGAAGGCATCTCCCTTAACATCACTGTCTACCAACTGGACCCCCCAAGGTGGCTTCAGCAGCACTTCACCGTTGATTGATGAGACTTTTTTATAGGATGTCACTTCATAAAGTAAACGTATGTGACTCCCATACTGTTAGAAAACAACTGCTAGTTGAATTTTTAATGAAGTCTTTAGACTGGTTAAAAAGTAGAAATAATTTGGAGAAGGCATGGCCTCTCTGTGGCGCCATGTCTAGACTTCTGAGTCATTTGGGGAGCATTTTCTCTGGTAACATGCGAGTTCATGTTTTCCTAGTTCCTGACGTCAGTCGAAATGGGGATCCATTTGTTGCCACCTCCATCGTGGAAGCCATTGCAACTGTTGACCGAGCCATAAACTCCACCCGGACTCACCTGTTCGACAGGTATGGTCGCATGAGGCTGGTGCTGACCTTGGCCGCAGAGCTGGAGGTGCGGGGTTAGCATGCATGCCATCCTAGTCTCGAGGCTCTGACCTGTCTCATCTGGAGACAGATTGTTGAAACAGATGTCCTAAGCAGCATTGCTGTGGCTTTCCAGGTGCTGAAGTGCGAGAAGGGTGGGTGTTTTCCTAATTAGAGTCTGGACTGTGATTCACAGCCAAAACATTTCCAGAAGACTCTACTTACTCTTTTGGCTTGTTACTAACTGATTTGGCAAAAACATAATGTCTTAAGAGTCGTTAGTGGTTTGTTTATGTTGCAATTCCAGCTGTTTTTCTGCACCTTAATTGAAATGCAATTCCTGTGACTTTCTCTCGACTTATTAATGACTTGTTTTTAGTGTCTCTGGTTCTTGTTTGTCTGTTTGTTCTATCGCCTTCCACCTGGGATGAGTAAGGTACAGTACATCACGTTGTCAAAAGTAGCAATAGAAATTTTAATAGCATAGGTTCACTTTGGGATTCTGGTGATCTTTGTCTCCAGTAATTCTTTTCCTTGCTCCTTTCCCTCCTTAACTCTTGTCAGCCGTCCCCGTTCTCCAAATGACCTGCTGGCCCTGTTCCGCTATCCGAGGGACCCATACACGGTGGGACAAGCCCGGGCAGGAGAGATATTTGAGCGGACCCTGCAGCTCATCCAGGATCACGTGCAGCATGGCCTGATGGTCGACTTAAACGGAACAAGTCAGTACCCCGTCCCTCCTCCTCCTTCCCTGGGTACGAGGTAGCAGATAGACCATACGACACATTCCAGTACTGTGTGTTCCGTGCTGTGAGCACAGCAGCGTCTGCACCCTGGTTCTGCCCAGCTTACACGGGATATGGTGTCTTTGGGTCAAGGTTACTCTCGGTGATTCAGAGCCTACTGCTGCGTGTGCTGTCTGCAGGCTGTGACGGTTCAGTCCTTATGTGACAGAAATTTCAAGGAAGACTTGATAGCGTGACAGCAAAGTAGCTGGCTCTGTGTGCACACAGTGCAGTGTTGTGCAGGCATTGGACAGGACATTTATGAAGATTTCCAGTGTCTCACAGCCAGCTAGTGAGACCTCCGCAGACTGTGCAGATGCCGTGGGGGTGCAGCCCACCACTCTGTTCCTGCATTCACTGTGGTCATGACCCAACAAATTGGAGATGCCTTTCTGTGTCACAGTTATTATTAGCTGTGCTGCTTATGGCCGTGACTTGTGTTGGATAAATAGTGCTATGGTGACTTTTGCCCTGTGTCGTTCCACACACCCACACGTGCACGTGGAGCAGGAAAAACGGCCAGCAGCAGTGGCCGTGGTGTGAGGCACTTCAGGGTGTGGCAGTGTTTTTCACATTGCTTTCGATAAACAACTTTTTGATCAGGGCAAAAGAGTTACTCAAGAATTTAATATTGTTATTAACCATGAGATGGAAGAGGCTGATGTGAGGGCTGAGGGTCACTTCTGCCTGTCCTGGATGCACGGCAGTGATTTCATCTTGTCGTGTGGACCCTCGTGCGTGCCAAAGCTTTCAGGCGCCAGCAGGAGCCGCACCTGTTCGGGCAGCTGCTCCTGCCTCCTGTTGCACGGGTGCCCAGCCTCAGAACAGGTGGCTTTGCTTTAGGGCTGGAATTCCAGCCTCCATTCTCTTCTTGCAACTAGCTGGGCACCTTCTGCTCACCAGGCACAGGGTTGGCCTGAGGGTGGGTACAGCAGACAGGTGTTGCCTGTGTGGCTCATCCCAGGTATAACCCGTCTCTTTCTGAAGTCATGGGCCATACTCTGTCTTGGTCAGAGGACTGAATAGGATTTGCTCAGTGTTACTTCTTGCTGCTTCCTCTCTGTCTTTGTTTAGTTACGGGTTCAGGTCTTTATATGAGTGTCGTGGCCTCAGTGGCAGTCACTCTCTGCCCATCACCCCTCTGCTGATTCTGCAAAGCAAGGCCCTTTTGGAAGACCAGCCTGGAGTCCAGCTCTGTTTGGAATTGTTCCTTGTGAGGCATCCCATGCTGATTTCACAGCAGTGCATGCTAGTTAGAGAATGATTTGCACACTTGGAAAGGCAGAGAGAAAAGAACATGATCCCTGTGGGCTCCGGCACCTTCCCTTCTTCCTGAGCAGCAGGTGGGGTGGAGCAGCTCATGCATGACCTCACCTCACTCGTCCATTCTGCTCACTTGTCAGTCACATTTTCCGTACCAGACCCTGTCCTGGGGATAAGGCAGCACAAAAGAAATGAAAACCTCAGCCTCAAAGGTCTGACATCTCAGAGAAGGGCAGACCCTAAGCCAGCAGAGTGGTCAGTGCACATGGTACCCATGGGTGATGCAGATGGCAGCAGGTAGTCAGCCTTGGTGGGCACAGTGCTAACTCCATGGCAAAGATGCACTTGTCCCCTACAAGAGGAGGGGCCTCCCTGAGATAAGGAGGGCAGGTGCACAGGCCCCAAGGTGGGCCTGCCTGGCAGATTAGCGCCAATATTGTGGAAACAATGACGACGTGGGAGGAAGTGCTTTCCTTCTTGGATCTTTGCTCCCTCGATGCAAAGACTTCCCTGACTAGCTCTGAAAGCAGAGCGACACTCATTCACGCTTGGCTCCTAGGGGAGGGAGCGTTCACTGCCCCCTTGCTCAGGACAGGGGAGCTGGGAACCCTGGTGGTCAGGCAGCAAGGTTTGTGCCCCTGTGGCTTGCCAGGGCACCAGTGTGTTTATGATTGCTTCTTCCGGCCTGGAAAATCCTGGCCTCCTTTTTTGGACTTTTGTTTGAGTATTTTGGAAACCACTCACTTACCCCTACAAAGGAGCTGCCTCTCATACATCCTTTTATAAAGGTGAGCAGACGTGGTATCGAGAGCCAGGTGTGGGCTGGAGGTGCTGCAGGGAGAAGACAGTGCTGGTTCTGAACTTAGCAGGGTGTGTGTGTGCGTGCATGTGTGTCTGTGTGTCTGTGTGCATATGAGCAGACAGCATTGAGTGTGCGAGCATGTGTAAGTGCACGTGTCTGTGGGAGTGTGTACGAACCTGTCTTCGTGCATGTGAACATGCACACCATGACTGTGTGTGTGTATGTGTGAGGTGTTCATGGCTTTTCAACAGGCCCCAGGGCACGTGCAGGGGAGGGGTGATGAGGATGGTGACAGCCTTGGCTGTGTGCATGTTTGGGGACAGCGTTTAGGAAAACTGAGTTCTGAGTGTGTGAACCTGGGGTAGCGAGGCGATTGAATGGCTGGGTGCAGGAGTCTTGAAGGCGAAGACCCAGGAGCTGGTTAGGTATAAGGTTAGTGCCATCAGGTGGATATGGTGTAGGTTCAATCATGTGAAATTCCTTCTGTAGCTGGTGGTTGGAAGCTGAAGGTTTCTGAGCAGGAAGGTGACCCATGGCAGCCTGCATCTGGCTAGAACAGTTGGAGGCCATGTTTGTGATAGGGCTTGGCTCTGCCAGGCAGGTGGCTCCTTTGGAATTTAAGGCAGGTGTCATGAAAATCTGGACTGAGATGGTGCCAGAGGACTGGAGAGGCAGGCAGTAGACTGGGGACCGCATTGGAGAACAAACAGAGGTGGCAGGTGGCTCAAAAATTGGCAGCACACAGCACCTGGCCCAGGGGACAGGACGTGGTCCTGCTCCCTGGTGCAGGGACCACAGTGGTCAGTGGTACGTTTGCTGCCTGTTCCACGGAACTGTGTGAAGTAGGCCTGGACTAGTGAACGTGGTGGCGTTTGCCAGGGGTCACCATGTTAGAGCAGGTGGTAGAAACCCTGGGGCCCGTTAGTTGGGTGGGGAGATGATCCAGGAGCAGTGAGTGGGGTGGGAAGGGCAGAACGCCACCAAGACCAGGACGCCTGAGCATCCAACAGACGTCTGGAGCTTTGTGCCGAGCCCGCCCTGGAGCCGAGGGCTTGGTGGATTCTTAGATCTGCCACCTCTGCTGTTTGCAGGTTACCACTACAACGACCTGGTGTCGCCACAGTACCTGAGCCTCATTGCCAACCTGTCGGGCTGCACCGCCCACCGGCGTGTGAACAACTGCTCCGACATGTGCTTCCATCAGAAGTACAGGACGCACGATGGCACCTGCAACAACCTGCAGCACCCCATGTGGGGCGCCTCGCTTACTGCCTTCGAGCGCCTGCTCAAGGCCGTGTATGAGAACGGCTTCAACACGCCCCGGGGCATCAACCCGCAGCGGCAGTACAACGGGCACATGCTCCCCATGCCACGCTTGGTGTCCACCACGCTCATTGGGACGGAGGTGGTCACCCCCGATGAGCAGTTCACACACATGCTGATGCAGTGGGGTCAGTTTCTGGACCACGACCTGGACTCCACGGTGGTGGCCCTGAGCCAGGCCCGCTTCTCCGACGGGCAGCACTGCAGCACCGTGTGCAGCAGCGACCCCCCCTGCTTCTCCGTCATGATCCCCCCCAACGACCCGCGTGTGCGGAGCGGGGCCCGCTGCATGTTCTTTGTGCGCTCCAGCCCTGTGTGTGGCAGTGGCATGACTTCCCTGCTCATGAACTCCGTGTACCCGCGGGAGCAGATCAACCAGCTCACCTCCTACATCGATGCGTCCAACGTGTACGGCAGCACGGACCACGAGGCTCACAGCATCCGGGACCTGGCCAGCCACCGGGGCCTGCTGCGCCAGGGCATCGTGCAGAGGTCCGGGAAGCCACTGCTGCCCTTTGCCACGGGCCCCCCGACTGAGTGCATGCGGGATGAGAATGAGAGCCCCATCCCCTGCTTCCTGGCCGGGGACCACCGGGCCAACGAGCAGCTGGGCCTGACCAGTATGCACACACTGTGGTTCCGGGAGCACAACCGGGTGGCGGCCGAGCTGCTCAAGCTGAACCCGCACTGGGATGGGGACACCATCTACTACGAGACCCGGAAGATCGTGGGGGCCGAGATCCAGCACATCACCTACCGCCACTGGCTGCCAAAGGTGCTGGGGGAGGTGGGCATGAAGATGTTGGGGGAGTACCGGGGCTACGACCCCAGCGTCAACGCCGGCATCTTCAACGCCTTCGCCACCGCGGCCTTCAGGTTCGGGCACACGCTGGTCAACCCTCTGCTCTACCGGCTGGACGAGAACTTCGAGCCCATCGCTCAGGGCCACGTTCCCTTGCACAAAGCCTTCTTCTCACCCTTCCGGATCGTGAACGAGGGGGGCATCGACCCGCTTCTCAGGGGGCTGTTCGGTGTGGCAGGGAAGATGCGGGTGCCCACCCAGCTGCTGAACACGGAGCTCACGGAGCGGCTATTCTCCATGGCACACACGGTGGCCCTTGACCTGGCCGCCATCAACATCCAGAGAGGCCGGGATCACGGCATTCCTCCGTACCTTGACTACAGGGTCTACTGCAACCTGTCCGCTGCTCATACCTTTGAGGATCTGAAAAATGAGATCAAGAGCCCTGAGATCCGGGAGAAGCTGAAAAGGTGAGTGGCAGGGAACCGGGACGCAATGGTCTGAGTGTGGACGCCCGGCGACCCCAGCTGTGGGTTGTGTTGTAACCGCCTCTGGGTTCAAGTGTTTGCTGTGTCCTGAGGAGGGCACATGAGAGGCTGTGCTGCTGCAGGGTGGGGCTGGAGCCAGGTGTCTGTCCAGTCACATCCCCCAGCCTCACTGTGCTCAGGATGAGACAGAGCTGTACTATCTGGCTGGAGCTCGAGTGGCCAGAGGTTAGCTGTTTGCTCCAGGGCCACAGTGGAGGCTGTTTGTGCCAAGGAGGACTGTCCCTGGTGCAGAGCCTGGCAGTTCAGCCTCGATCAGCTGACCCCCAAGGCCTGGTTCGTAGCCCCTCCTGTGTGAGGCCCATGGAGAGGCCACTGCTCCTGAGAGGTGGAGAGGGGAGGAGAGGGAGCAGGGGATGGGCACTTCAGAGCCCTTGGTGCAGCAGTGGGAGAGTTTCAGCATGCCCCGCCCAGGCGACGGGGCCCAGAGGTCTGGTTAGGATCAGGTACCTTGCCTTTGGCGGGCTCCTTCCTCCAAATTAGGTGGGTAGCTGGGCTTGAAGTTCTCCAAAACTTACCTTCGTAAGCTCTCCTTTTTTCTAGGCTTCTCCCTGTCCTTGGCTGCTTAACTTTTTTCTTTTTTTTTCATATTATTTCTAACAGTTTATTTGTATTCAGTCTTTTACAGAAATGGAAGTAATTACTCATTAGTTTTCCTGTTGTGATTCTTCCTAGTCCTTGGATTTATGAATCAAGACAGCTCACTGAGCATGTGAGATCTGCTAATTTTTCACTTGAAGGAACTGTTTTTAAAAGAAAAGAATTCCCTTGTGAAATACCCTCTTCCCAGGTGTTTCCCGTCCTCACCCCATGTTCCTTGTGACCTGAGCTCACTCCGTGTTTCCCATGGCCCTCTCCCTGTGTTTTCTGGGCCATCTGCAACCCAGAGCAAGTCACCTGACACGACAGTGAGATGGCCTACAGGTCAAGCTGTGGCTTCTAGACAAGGATTCTTCTCGTAATTTATTGCCAGTTCTGAATGAGCCTGAAGCCTCCTGTGTTCCGGTGTTCTTTATTTAAATCCTGGCATTAAATTCCGGGCAGAGGGGAGCCTGGGCTGTCCACTGGTGGAATGTGTTTTTGTCAGTTTTGCTTGGTTGGAGTTTATGTTAACGTCTGTACTTTTCATTAATATCCTCCTTTGTTCCCGTCCAGACGGCCACAGATGACTTTCCCAGCCTTTTTCCTCTCTTTGCCAAACTGTTTCAGAACTGCTCAGAGGTGCTGGCGGTCCCGTTCTTGCTCTGGCACACAGTGGTCCTGGGTTGTTTGCATGAGAGAGACCCTGGCAAAGACATTACAGTCATTCACCCACACGCTGAATCACTCACTCATTGTTTTTCTATCAGCCATTGCTAAGAGGGAAAATGAGACATGAATACGAGGACAGTGGAGTGATGAAAGCTGAGGCCTGTACGTGGCTGTTTCCAGCAGACATGGGGAGCACGGTTCTCCCCTACTGCACTGGAAGCCAGTGAAGGTCTGCATTTCGGGGCAGCATGGGTGGAGCTTCTTCCCCTGCTGTGCACCCCGCAGGCCCAGCTTGCAGGACTCCAGGCCCCTCTGTGAAGGAGGCACCTGGAGTGCAGTGGGGGCGTCTTCCTAGATTGCCTGTGGGTTTGGATCCTTCCAGCTCTCCACAAGAGTCCCTAGAAGGTGAGAGTAGGAAGAGGAGGACAGGCACAGTGGAGCAAGTTCTTTGGGGGGAAGGTGTGGACAAGACCAGATGCTCTGTAAGTGATTTGCCGGTGACGTCTAGGAGCTGAAAGTCTAATGTACTTGCAGTTGTACTTAGAAGAACAGGAGCAGTTTGTGCTTCTTAGGAAGAGTGAGTGCCAACCTAAACAAAATCACATTTATTCCACTTGCGAGATAACGCTGATGGTCACAGCCCTGTGTATCTTGCTTGTGGAGTAGCTGGTGTCCTGGGTCATGGTCCAGAACTCGTGCTTCGTGGGAAAGGCAGTGGGAGGGTAGGAGATACTTTTAGCTCTATCTGAGCAATGAGGAAGGAGCACTGCGGTCAGGTCATCGCCTGTTGCTTCGTGGAGCACTGGGAAATTATAAAAGATGAGATAAGGCTGATTGAGAAACCATTGATTCTTTGCATGTTTGTGAGCATATCTGAGGAACGGGAAGAATTGGATGAGAACATTTGTAAACATTTAAACCATATCTAAGGCCTTGCCCCATCCTTGTTTAGCAAATATTTTCATTATGGCCAATATGTTTTCAGTGCATGGCAGAATCCAATTTTATTTTTTAAAATGTGTCTGCAGCTATCTAGGTGGTGGGGGAAAGGAAAGGTGTCATTTAACTTTTTTCAGTTTTCCTGACTTTTCAAAATCTAATAGCTGGGTGCCAGTGGCTCACACCTGTAATTCTAGCTATTTGGGTGGCTAGAATGGAAAGATCATGGTTCAAGGCCAGCCTGGACAAATAGTGCATGAGACCCCGTCTCTAAAATTAACCAGAGCAAAATGAACTTGGGTCAAGCCAAGAGAGTAGAGTGCCTGCTTTGCAGGTACCAAGCCCTGTATTCAAACCCTGGTCCCATCCCCCAGCCCACCCCCCCAAAATGATAAATAAATGTGTGTATCCATTTTACGGATATACATATAACAGAAAATAAGAAAATTCTTTTTTTTAATGATGTAATTTTATTAGCCTGCATTAATCATATAAGGGGTTTCATGGTGATAATTAAGTATGATAGGTAGGTGCTTTAAAGAATTAAGGACGAATTTTCTTTGATAAGTAAAAATGCAAATAACATACCATGGTGAGAAACTTGGGCTTTTTCATTTCTGCTGTGATTTATTACCAGGTAAATCCGTTGCTGCTTGTGTCCCTACAGGCTCTATGGCTCAACACTGAACATCGATCTGTTCCCAGCCCTCATGGTGGAAGACCTGGTTCCGGGCAGCCGTCTAGGGCCCACCCTGATGTGCCTGCTTAGCACACAGTTCCGGCGCCTACGTGATGGGGACAGGTAGGCACCAGAAGGGCCTGTTGGAGGGCTGGCGGAGAGAGGACCCATCCTCGCTGAGACGAGACACCTCACCCCTTGCAGCCCTGCGAACAGCCCCTTGCCTGACTTAGGCTTGTCCCCAGACCCTCACGTGGTGTTAGGGCTTTCCACACCCATGTCCAGGCTGTGTTGTTTTCTGACCCTAAAGAGAACTGGGCAACCCTGAGCTGGACCTGGGAGACACTGTAGGCTTTGAACTTCTAGTGAGCATTCTTAGTTTACAGCCCCAGAAGGTGGCCATACCTGTTACTAAGTAATTCAGCAGACAGCCTCCTGCCATGTCTGTGTTTCTAGAAAGTGGCCTCTTTTCCTTCCTGGTTGGCAGGCTAACATACTGTCTGTGTGACGGATTGTTTTCTTGTTTTTTGGACGTGACTTTGAGTCATGTCTGAGTTACTTCAATAGCTGCTAATGGAACCCAGCGATTTCTGGTTGCAGAAGGGATATTCTAACTCAGTTCCCTGGGACCAGGGGTGTCTCTGTCCACCCTGACCCTGCTCTCATTTCTGGGATGCAGGTTGTGGTATGAAAACCCGGGGGTGTTCTCCCCTGCCCAGCTGACGCAGATCAAACAGACGTCCCTGGCCAGGATCCTGTGTGACAACTCAGACAACATCACCCGCGTGCAAGGGGACGTGTTCAAGGTGGCGGAGTTCCCTCATGGCTACGGCAGCTGCGAAGATGTCCCCAGGGTGGACCTGCGGGTGTGGCAGGATTGCTGCGAGGGTATGTGGCAGAGACACACAGCACCTCCTCTCACTTTCTCTGTTTCTGTGAACGCTGAGCACGTGTAAGTACCGTCACCATGGCGAGAAGGGATGCAGGATTTATTTGTGGTGTATCTGTAAGAGTTCGTGCACTTACACGAGCCTCGGTGGTGTGACCAGCACCTCTCGATGCTATTAGGAGACTCACCAGTTGCCTTCGGGTTCCACCAGCAGGACACGGCAGACTGGCCCACTACTTGTTTTAAGTAGGACTCTGTTATGAAATAGCGATAAAAAGAAAAACATGGCACAAATACTTAAACCAGCAGCGTAGTCTTTTATCATCATTGTCAAATGACGCGCTGTGCATCTGACAGTCGGCGCAGGTCATTTGTCTACACCAGCGTCAATTTAGCCTGGTGCTGAGATGTCACTAGACGGTAGGCGGTTTTCAGCTGCGTTATGATCTTTGGGGCCATCTATATATGATGATAACTACAACACTGGGAAAAAGAAACATTTGTGTAACTACACATACTCTGTGTCCCTACTCACAGATGAAAGACGAAAAGTAAAGTCTATCAAAGAAGCACTTGAGATGTATCAAATTGCCTTCTAGGAAGTTTATGCTTGGTGTTTGGGACATCTACACCAACACGTAACCAGAGAAAGCAGTTACTGAACATCTCCCGAAGAGTTAAGAAGTGCCCTGTGGGCGTGCCAGTCTTGCTTTCAGGGTTTAGAAGCCCTTTGTAAAGAGGGGCTGGGCCTGTCATCCTGAGATGCCACTTGCTCTCCGGGCCGCCATCAGCAGCTCCTGCCTCTTCCGGGCACTGACCTCATAGCCTCCATCCTGCTTGGCATGCCTAATTCCCTCTCATGGTTAACCTCAGTTTCCAGCTTCTAAATTGAACACAATTTTGGCTTTATTCAAGCTATGATTAGAGCCCATAGATATTAAAGCTGGGGGACATTTGGAACCCAAGCCCCATGAACTGCTGTTTGTGGTGAAGTGGGAGGAGGGAGGCCTTCCTGCCTCACATGGGGGGCGTGGGCCCTGCCCGCTCTGGGGGCTCCTGGAGACAGTGGGTAAAATGATAGCTTAAGAAAAGACACCCAGAGTTCAGAAACTACAATTACTCTCTCTTCCACCTCTTTGATCCTGAAGTAGTCACTCGATGCTATTTAAATCAGTGCGCACTGCAGTCTGGGTTGAATATTAGAGCAGTTTGAAATATCTTCTCAGAGTGTGCGGGTGTCTGCATGAGCGTGCAGTAGGTGTCTCTTTGTGATCTGATTCTTTTGTCTCTCCCTCTCTCTCTCTCAACATACACACGCGTACGGCAGGAGAATTCACACGAACAACAGAATTGTGCCTGGTGCATACCCAGTTTCAGGGTCACTTGTGGTCTGTTACCACATTTGCTGGGAATGTGTGTCTGGTTTTATTCTCACTGCTTTGCACAGCGCAAATGTGTTTCCACCGCGTTACAGAGAATCCACGCTGTGCCTGCAGAGAGCTAGAACTGTTCTCTTTAATCGTGGGAAAACCAGTTCTTCTCATGGTCAGATACAAAAATCCATTTTCTGATCATTTTACCAGGCTCCCATTAGCTGCGTAAGGAGGAATACAGCCAGGCTTTCTGCACTTTGGCTGAGAAGTCCAGCAGTCCTGAAAGAGGTCATCCTGGGACAGGCCTTGCTCTCTGCTGTCCTAGTGGGAGCTCCTTCCTCCATCCTGTCCCTGGTCCCAGGCAGGCAGCTTAATTTGCTTTATAAGTTTAGCGGAAAAAAGGTAAAAAAGAATTGAAGTTTGCCAAACTTAAATTTCGGTTGCTCACCTCCCAGAGCTGAGCCTGGGAAGGTGTGGTGTCCATTCTTTTTTTTTTTTTTTTTTGTGGCACTGGGGTTTGAACTCCCAGCCTCACACTTGCTAGACAGGGGTACTCTACTACTTGAGTTGTACCCCAAGCCCTTTTTGCTTTGTTATTTTTCTGATAGGATCCCACATTTTTACCCAGGGCCAACCATGGACTCCAGTCCTCCTATCTATGCCTCCTGTAGCAGGGATTACAGGTGTGCACCAGTGCACCTAACTTGTTGATTAAAATAGGGGTCTCTTAAACTTTTGTCCAGGCTGGCCTTTAACCAGGATTCTGTTCTCCACCTCCTGAGCAGCTGGGATTACAGGGTGTGTACCACACACCCATTTCTTTCAACCACAGTAGGAAATGCAACCTCTTTGTGGGGATTGGTGTGTCTTAGGGAAAACACACACTCATGTGTTCACACAATTTGGAAATCATTGCAGTAATTATTGAAATACTACAAAGCACACCTGCACATCCCCTAGATTCACCAGTTAACATTTTATTACATATTTTCGCGATTTTTACATGTGTGTGCCTGTGTATATTGGTGTGTATTCATATATAAAATGCATATTTTTTCTAAAGTAGCCAGGAAGTTGCAGATATGTGCCACCTTGCTCCTCAATAATTTAGTTAATCCTGATCACAATGGGAGATTTAGCGTGAATCAAACGTTCCAACATCTCAGTCTTCCTGAGATGTTACCTTGGTTCTGTAACAGTTTATGTCCCGTTGCCAGATGCCACCAGGGTCTTAACTTGCATTTCACCATAGGTTCTTCAGCCTCTTCTAGCCAGGAAGAGTTCTCAGTCTGTCCTTGGTCTTTCTTGTAGCATTTCCATCCTGTGGGTTTGTGGACATTTTCCTTGAGCTTGAGACTCAATGTACGCCGTGCGAGTCAGACAAGCAGGGCTGCGTTCTGTGCTCATCACTGTGGGGCTGTCAGCTTAGTCCCTGGACACTGTCCTGCTCTGCAGGCACCTTATGGTGCCCATCGGGGATGGGAGCCAGCCCGACCTGCCCGGGGCTACATTCCTGACTCTCAGGGACTCAGCCAAGCTCTCACAGTGTGGGGGGAGGGCTTGCTCTGGATATAGGAAGCCTGGTGGGAGGAGGCTCCCATTGTCTGGACTGGGGGTGTAGGGCTCAGTGTGGGGGACACGGGCGTGGCTGTGGAGGAACCAGGCTGGTGTGGATCTGATTCGTGTTCCCAGAACCCTGTGAAAAACTCTGTTCTGAGTTGATTGACAGGCAGAGAGAGTGCAGGGTGGTGGATCCAGCCTGCTGGGCTTGACTCAGAGGCAGATAATTATCTTCTGCAATTACAGACCACTTAGGGGAAGTGTGCATCGGTTATGTTATGTGGGAAGAAATGGGGCCTTGACTCCTTAGAAGTTTGTCCCTTCTCTTTCCAGTCATAGACAGCAGAATCTAGACCAGGACACACATCTGCTGCCTGCACAGGCAGCTCCATGTTTTTCTTGTACGATTTCTGCCTCAGAGGCACCATGAGACTTTCAGAATTTTGACAAGAGCTGTATTCGACTTTTGCCTTCATTCTCTGCCAGGCTGTTTCTGGGGAGAAAGAGGCAGGAGACTCATGTAAAACCTGATGGCTTTGATGGCTACTGTGGGCAGGGCCAGGTGAGTCCTCTTCCCCTACCTGGTCCAGGTGAGACACAGCACCAAGGCTCCTGGCTGGAGTGGGAGGACCTCACATATGAGCAGACCAGATCATGGAGGCAGAGCACCTGGCTCTTGTCTCTCTGTGTGAGCTGTGTGCCAGGATGGCACAGTGGACATTTGGGGTGCCTGGAATGGGGGGGTCTGCTCTCAGGGAGACCTGCTGTGGTCGTTGGAGGGTGTGTGCTTAAGCGGGTTGTGTAGAGGCTTGGCCTCACCACAGGAGAGGGTCAGTCACCCAAGACCATCTGTTAGGGCTCCATGAGGCCCTGACTCTGCCTGCTATCATGTGTTCTGGTTAGATTCATAGATGCAGCATAAAAGATGGTCACTATTTATTTTCTCCGAAATTAGTGTCTTTGCTGGCCAACCTCCCTCTTCCTGCTTTCTCTGTAGACTGCAGGACCCGGGGACAGTTCAACGCATTTTCCTATCATTTCCGGGGCAAACGGTCTCTGGAATTCAGTTACCAGGAAGATGAGCCCACCAAGAGAGCTGGGCCACAGGTGGCACTGGGGTAAGTTTGTCCTGGTGGCCACTGTAAAGAGCGGCCTTCCCTGGGGATGTCTGCCATAAGCCCAGGCTTGCTGTCATTCTGTGCTTGTTCCCTGGCCAAGTCAGGTCCAGCAGGAATCTCTCAGAGTGGAAGGAGCAGGTCTGCAGCCTGGGCCCTGCTGGGCTGTGCTAGACCCACTGAGGAGAACTAAGGTGAACTTGCAGGTTGATGTTTTGCTCCTCTTTCTTCCTCATAGTGTAAAACACAGTAAACGGCTCAGTAACTCCACGTCGGCCTCCTATGAGCACTCAGAAGGGCCAGCGACAAACGACTTCAAGGAATTTGTCCTGGAAATGCAAAAGACTATCACAGACCTCAGAAGACAGGTAATGCCGACCTAGGCCTTACGTCGTCTTTGCCTCCACCTGCCTTTTGACAGCACACCTCCCTCCTCCTGGCTTCTGGGAGGTTTTCACTGCTGGGTGGCTGTGAAGGGAGGTTGTGCCCGGCACCTGCAAGGGCATGCCATTTCTGTAGCTCACTCTTTCTTGTACTTTCCCTCCATCTGGACCACATAGAACAGCTCTCCTCAGATTTCCCTGTAGCCTGGGGACACAGAGCAGGTGTTCTTGGTGGTGGACTGCCAGGCAACGTTGCTGAAGGAATGTGGTTGGCACAGATACAGCATCCTAAAAAACCCCCATGTAGGACAGTGTGGAGAAGGTGGAGTTGGATTCCTGTTGGCAAGCGATTTTTACGAATGGTGAAGTGACCGTTTCCCACAGGTATCTTGAGGTCCACACCTCAAATGCTTGGTTAGTCACTGGGAGCCCTGCAGAAGGGACCCACTCAGGAGCACTGGTGTGAACCTGTGCACTCATATTTTGCTCCTTGAGGAGACCAAGCAACCAGGGTCCTGTGGCAGGGCAGGGGCTTCCACCTTGCTTCTGGCCCCCACTCTCTGCCCAGGGAACTTCTGCCTCTCCCAGACTGGGGTTGGGTTGTCAGTGCCATTTACTTCAAAGGGTGGAAACTGAGATCTCCGGCTGGACTTCTCTCAAGTCTGTGCACACTGTGGGGACAGAGAGAAGTGTATGCAACTCAGTGTGGAGAGAGGGTTCCAGGAGAGGCGCTTGGTGCTGGTCCCTGCTTCGTGGCGTTCACGGCTGTGGGCCATTCCTCCTCCAAGGCTCCTGGGATGTGAGGTTTAGGAAGAGTTTGTTCATTGTCAGGGTGGCCTTGACACTCGCCTCTGGCTGCAGGGCCATTTCTGCTGCTGTCCACTGCTGGCCACATCCTGCCTCTGCACTTCAGGTACCACGTGTGGTTTCTCTTGGCACCAAGTGGACAGTATGGTGATGGCTCTCTAGGGTCACCTGACGCAGTGCAGGCCCCAGTGAAGAGAGGCTGAGATGAACCTAATGTTCAGAGCATGATAGGCACAGCTCAGGTGTCCTGGGAACCTGAGGGGAGTTTGTGAGCTCTGAGGTCAGCCGAGATGGGCCCTGAGGATGGGTGACTCCAGAGAGTCTGTGGCACTGTCACTTCTTCTTCTGTAGGACTAGGGTCAGGGCAGGCCCGATCAGGGTGTGAGAAGGACTGAGAAAGGCAGAATATCTCTTGATTTTTATAAGTAGTGTGGCTCAGATTGGACGTGGGCAGACTTGGCCTTGTCTCTGTCATCCTCATGTGACCACTGAGTGCTCACACAGATGCTTATCTACTCTGACAGCTGCTGAGGAGTATATGGTCCAATCATGTCCTCTGAGGTCTAAGTGAGGCAGGGGTGGCTATAGATGCCCAGGAAGCCTTGAAGGACAGACAGGTCTGGCTGCCGCCTGAGGATACCGGGACCCTCCTTCTTTCCCTTCATGGTTTCCACTAGAAAGTCCTAAGATTTAAAAGGGTCAATGATGCTAATGAAAGACTGATCAGAAAAAGGTTTTTATTTGGAAGCCATATATAAAATGTTTCACAAAGTGAGTAGCTATTTGGCTAACTAAATCTTAGACAGCAAGCGGTCAGGGTGTGATCCTCCTAAAACACAGAGAATGAGGCCCCTGACACCGTGGGGAGTCGCAGTGTTGCTTCAGTGAGGCGCTGTGTTCTGACATAGGATGGAGTCTGTGCAAGAGTGAGCTGAGCAGAAGGCATGGTGGTTGAAGTGCATACGTGGGATGTTTGTCTAATTTGTTCATTGCTGTCACCTGGCTGCACACCTGCAGCTGGGCATGGCTGACAAAGTTTTGCTCCACAAATTGGGAAGTTATGTCCATTTTGGCTCCATTGCGAGTGATAGCAAACCCAAATTAGAATGGATTCCACGAGGTGAGCAAACTTTCCCCTGAGTGAGTCTGGGGCTACCTGCCCTTGCAGTGGGGGCCTTGGCACCTACTTCTCTGTGTTGGTGGGCCCAAGGTCTCCAGCTGCCTTTGCCCTGTGTTCGGGACACAGGCAAGGGCATGGGAAAGGGGCCTCTGGAGTGTACTGCAGGTGACTCCTGGGCTTCCCTCACATCCTGTGAGTCACCTGGCCACACTTGGCTGCCAGGGAGGTGGGTTTGATGGCCTGTGCTCTGGGACACTGAGCTTCTCAGGAAAAGCCATCTCCATCCCTGGGAAAACAAGAGTCTCTTGGTTTTGGACATGACCAGGGCTGGTCCTTTGAAATAGCACAGTGATCATTCTCTGTGTTGCAGCTCAGGCACAGTGAGCATTTCCATCATCACTCAGGGCAGTGAATCTCCTTTGTTTTCAAGATCCTCTGTTTTCTTTTCATTACCTCAGCTTGCATTTCATGCACACTGTTAGACCATGGGGTCATGGCATTTGGACAGTCCTCCCCAGTCTCATCAGCAGATTTGAGATGCCATCAGAGTTCTTTAGGAACAATTGTCTCTGCCAGCCTTCCTTCTCACGCACTCTTTCGAGAGCAGGTGTATGTTTTGCCAGAACTGCACTGTGGCTCCCAGGTGACCAGGACTGCTCTGTGCCTTGCTACAGATAAACACACTGGAGTCTCGGCTCAGCGCCACAGAATGTGTGGATGGCAACGGTGAGTCTCACGCCAACAACACAAAGTGGAACAAAGACGCGTGCACCGTTTGTGAGTGCAGAGTGAGTATGGGGTCCATCTTCATACCCTAGATGTGGGTGGCCTCTGTCCCTCCCGCCACCTGTTGGAGCTAACTGTACTGGCAGAGGTGGTGCTGCATGGCCTAGACCTGCTGTACTGGCTACCTGCAGAGGGTGGGCTGTCCCCTTAGCACGGGGTGAGCCAGAGCACCTGTGTGAACCAGATACCCCGTCTGACACTGGAGAGAACACGCACACCATGGAAACCTAAACTGAAACGGCTCAGATCCCCGCCTCATAGCCACTTGTTAAACATTTACCTGGCTCTGTCCAGTCCTGGCCTGGGGCATTAGTTGTGTAGGTGAGGGTCAGGGTTCCTCTTTGGAGGGAGATGCACAGGTGGGGGATTGTGGTGCTGGCAGTGAGCAGAGGTGCAGCTGCTGCTACACGGGGGTGCAGCTCAGGACAAAGATGACAGACAGGGTAGCATGGATAAGGCAGATGTGGGGTGCCTAGGGGTTTGTCCAATTTCCAGAGACAGACATTACAAGGTACTCACATCCATGGGCTGTGTGGCTTGGTAAGGAGACCAAGGGAGAGGAGAGCCAGATCCCCTCTATCTCTCTCTGGTCCTGTCCTCCCTCCTGGTGAGAACAGCTGAGGGTTCCAAGGTGAGACAAGCCTATGATCATGGACTCCTCATTGTTGGAGAACAGTGGGAAAGGACAAGAGTAAGAAGTGGAACCTCCAGAAGAAGTGGAGGTGTTGGTTTTGTGCTAGACTGCAATTAAGAAGCCACTGAGGGTTGCCCTTCTGGTATAGTTAGCGAGAGGTGAGACCTCCAAGGTTGGCTGAGCAGTGAGGAGTGGGAGAGCATGTGAGGTGTTGTCCTGTGTACAGAGGCAGACCATGCACAGTGAAGGGGGGAAGGGGGGGCTTGGTGAAGTGCACGAGGCACCATGCCCAGCAGGGTCCCAGAAAAGATAGGTGTATCCATCTCCCTCTTCCAGGATGGGCAGGTCACCTGCTTCGTGGAAGCTTGCCAGCCTGCAGCGTGCCCTGCGCCTGTGACATTTGAAGGAACATGCTGTCCAGTCTGCGTAAAGACAACCACGGAGGGACAGCCTTAGTCTTTCCCAGCAGAGCTCCTTGGACTTGGTTGAGATCAGACAGCAACACAGGGAGCTGCAGACCACAGGAAAAATCTGGACCCCAGACATTTCAGGACCTCAGCTGTGCCATCACCCCTGCGGCACAGGCTGCTTTGGACCCCATGTTTGGAGAAGGAGTCAGAGCAGACAGGAAGGGGTGTGGACGCTGGTCCTCACTTCATGTTAGTCTTCTCAGGTTTTTATTTAATTCTTTTAAAATGGAAAATTGGTGCTACTATTAAATCGCACAGTTAAATCATTTAGGCTCCTAAACTGATTCTGCCTACTAATACTTTTTAAGTAAGGCAGGATCCCTCTGAAGTCCACTCCGCCTGGTTCTGACACCAGGTGTGACCTGTGGGTGACAGCGTGTCAGGAGGCCATGAGAAGGAGGCTTTCAATCTGGGTGACATCACAGGCTACATTTAAAAGGAAAATCTACGTTTGGCAAAGGGTATAGTCTTAACAGACGCTCGGGCTCCTGCTCCGTCCTTCCTGTTTGGGCTCTGACGTTTCTCAGCCGAGTAGCATCTAACCATGAAACGAAGCAGTCCTGTGTCCTGTGACTGTCCTGACCTCTTCCACACAGTTGTCACATTATTAATTCACATTTAGAAATGGACTTGTTTCCACTTACAGTGTGCGCACTTACTGCCTTGCTGTGAACCAGATGTGAAACCCTTTGGTCCCATGTCATGTGTTAGATCTCATGAACGGCCCCTGCACTGGCAGGATGGTCGGAGGCAGCCTTGTCCGTGCTCCTGAGCTCCTGACCGCCCAACAGAGTAAGACCCACTCTCCAGGTCCTTATGTTGGGTGACCGGCCACAGGTGGGCAGGACTTGAATGTGGGTAACTCTAACTTCACATTGTGTGAATGCAAAAAAACCAAATCCGTATACCTCATGTGTACTTTTAAAAATGCATGATTTTCTATAAAAATTTGCCCATTTGTGTTAGGTATGGCAGAAAAATCATTTTCCACTATGCAAAAGTATTTTTTTAGAATTCAGTGAAAAGCAACTATCATACCTCATGGTCTCTCTTTTTTAATTGACCAGAACCTTCCATTGTGTTCTCAAGACAAAGCAGTCTCTGTTCTGAGGACTGTTTCCCCTGAACAAGCAAGTTTCACTCAACATACGTTTAGTAGCTGGGTGCCCATACAGGGCACTGGGGCCTGATGGGGAATGCCGAGGACCGGGAGTCAGCAGCAGGTGGCAGAAGTGCCAGGAGGTTATCATGATAGTGAGAACATTGTCAGAGATGGGGAGAAGCCAGGTTCCTTGCAGTACTTGTCACATAACAGGCACTGAGAGTCTGGCATGATGTATCAGCCATTTCCCAGTGTGTATCTTTCCCACAGAGACCTGAGTGCGGTGCCAAGGGCATCCCAACCGTGGGATTGTTCACAGTGGACTCGTGGCTGTCTTTCCTCAGCCTCACGTTGCTAAGTGACAAGTTGAAGCTGCCTGGTGTCTCCTAGGCTTGGCGCTTCTTTTGAAATGGTCACCTACAGTGATTGTGTAAGGTGGGAATGGTTGTGTGATTGCTCAGGTATAGAAGTGACAACTGGGTCACCGACAGCAGCATTTCACTGTCCCATGAGCCTCGGAGGGTGCACACAGGTGCGGCTCGTGGCTGGGCAGGTGCACAGGGATTCCATTCTCTAAACCGATGGAGGGGAAGCTGACTGCGATTGACATTAAATTCTGAGATTCAAACTGAAATGTCTGCAGAATCACCAGTTTGATATTCTGACTTCATTGCTAAGACACAGTGGGGACAGCGCCCGTGTGGACTCTGAGCGGTGAGTGTGAGGGCATTGCTGTAAGAGGAAGCAGAGTGTATATATTTATTTACTTTCTAACTGTGGCCAACAGCCAATGCCGTTTTTCTGTTCGTTGTATTCAGTACATTACCAAAGAGATGTTTGCACTTTGTAGTGATCTCCTTCAGTTCAAATAAAGGGCCACGTTGTCAAGTGGAGAGTGCTTGCTTTCTTTACCTAAGAATGACAAATCGGGCCGCAGTTGTGCACCAGGTGACATAGATACTGGATGAAGAAAGTGGGACCTAGACAGAGGCCCAGGAGCTGCACTTGACACTGAGTATCCTATACAGAAAATGGGAGAAGGAAAAGTAGAAAGGAATGAGTTAAAACGGACTCTGGCTTTTGAGGGAGCGAGAACTCATTAGCCAGACTGACATTGCTTCTTATAAACCTTAAGCAGGTGGGAGGTGAGCTCCTGGGAAAAGTTTCCTGAAGTTTTTGTGTGGACAAAGCCATTCATTTGTCAGAGAGGAAAAGTGTGGTGTGGTGTCATCTTGTGGGATCAGTGATGTGTGGGCACCTTCCCAGTGCAGAGGCGGGAAGGGTGTCACGAGGTTCCCATGTACCTGCACTGGTGTGTGGCTCAGCTGCCAGACCTAGGTGACCACATAGCACCTTTGCATTCCCCGTGCTGGGTGGGAGGGAATGCCACTCTGAAGGAAGCTAGAAGGGCTTGACGGGATCTTTATAGGGCTTGGGGAACAATCATATTGTATAAAGTTGTCTTAACAAGATCAAAGAAGCGTGAGGGGAAATTTAAGTGTTAACATTTTAAATTTCCAAGTCATTTCAAAATTTGCATGAGAAACTTGCGCTGCTCCCCTGAATGTGCCTTACCTTAGTTGATGCTAAAAGGAGTTCTCTGCTGCATGTTAACAGTAAGCTAGCTCTCCCAAGCCTGCACAACACTCAGTAGTGGACTTTGCTCACATGAAAAGGTCTTAATTCGAAAACCACCTTTTGCAGCCACCAAAAATTACATTTAGTTGGGTGCAGTGGTTCACACCTGTAATCGTAGCTACTCAGGAGGCAGAGATCCAGAGGATTGGGGTTCAAGGCCGGCCTGGGCGGAAAGTTCACTAGACCCCATCTCAACCAATAAAAGCTGTCTGTGATGGTGCACACCTGTCGCTCCAGCTACAAGGGACTGGAGATCCAGGTTGGTCCAGGCCAAAACACAAGACCCTGTTCAAAACAGTAAGTAAAGCAGAAAAAAAAAAAAAAAAAATGTGAGGCATATGGCTCCAGTGGAAGAGCCTCTGCCTATCAAGCTCAAGTCCCTGCATTCAAGCCCCAGTACCACCAAACAAATAAAAAAAAAGAACGGCATTTAAACTCCATTTGGAGTGACAAATGTCATGCTGAACTTGTGTGACATGAAGACATTTCTATTCCACTGAACCTTGGGTTTTCCATGGTTGTCACAGCTGCCATGGGAGAACACGTGTATAGACAGACAGCACAGAAGGGCAGGTCAGCCCAGCGTCAGCAGAGTCACTGAGAGCCGAGGGAGACCAGGCTCTGAGAGGCACTGGGCCTGCCAACCCAGTGACCTGCCTGCCCAGTGGCCTGACTGCCCAGTGGCCTGCCTGCCCAGCTGCACACCCAGCACTTCGCCATCCTCACTTTAACACCCTGGCGACTGAGACAAAGGTCCTGAGCAGTCACTGTTTTTGACACTTCAGGTGCAGAGGCTTTTGCTTTTCAGCCGAAATCTTCCTGTGGTGGATTTATTTTCGATGTGTTTTTGTTCTCCGAACCCAGCACTGAGGCATCAATAGTGAATAGTGAGTGTCAGTTCGGAAGATCGTAGAAGCCACGGTACTGACGTTTATGCTTGTGAGACTCACTAAAATGACTCTCACCCCATCTGCTGTTTTAATGTCTGCTTTTCCTTGTTCAAGCAACCCACTCTCGGAGGAAGGATATCCAGTGGAAAAACCCTTTGTCTTCCCCATTGTGTCTGAAAAGTCTCCCCAAGGTCCAGAGATGGTGAACTGACTCTGACCTTGTAGTTGTGCAGGCAGGCTCAGCAGTCACAGGAAACGCTGGAGCAGGCAGCTGCACTGTTGCTAGTTGGTGTTACGAGCAGGGAAGGACTGCTGCGTGTCTCTTCATCCTTTGCATGACTGTTCAAACACCATCTATAAATTAAAGTCCTGACATTGTTCATACATTCTAAATGGTCCACATCCTTCCCAGCATGCAAGCTGGCTTTCTTGTTTTGTCCTCATCAAGCAAAACAGACCAGGATGCGCTCGTTGAGCCTCAGGACCCCCTCGCCTGCAGCTGCTTTAGAGGAAGTCCTGGAAAACATTTCTGTTTATGTTCCTCACAAATTAACTGCACCAGAAATTATCTCAGAGGAGGACACTGGTCATCGCTGCTTTTACCTATGACTCACAGCAGGAATGGGGGTTGGTGCTGGACGCTCGTGCTGGCCATCCTTAGGAACACTGGTCAGAACCTGGGCACTGAGTTTCCTTGGAGGTCTCAGCAGACTTTAGGGCTCAGCCTCTGCCTCACTACCTCGTGGATCTCAGCTCTCTTACAAGTCAGTTGTGCTGGATCTGAGTTGTGCCGGTCCTCTGTTGGAGATGCCCACATTTTATTAAAACACTGATTCTTTGCCTGCCCTGCTGAAACAGTCCATTGAGTTGCACTGCCCATTGGCCTTCCTCAGGTGGAAAGGACAAGACTATGACCTTGAGAATCTGAATGCTTGAGCTGCAACTTCTCATCTGTGCTGAGCCACAGTTCCGATGCAAGTATTTGCTTGCATCCTTTGCTGGTCACTCATGTGGCTTTTCCAAAGCTTCTATTGTTTTCCGTTTTCCGTTTGTAAAGCAGAGGTGATTGTACTTCTGCTTTGCGAGTTTGCTGTGCAGATAACAGACTGTTTAGCTCTCTGCTCTGCTCACTTCAGCCAGCCTTGGTCCTGCAGAAGTCTGGATTAGACAGCCTCCCCGCCATGTCCCACAGCTGGTCTTTACAAAACCTGGCGCCTGGTGTCCTCGGGCAGAAGGGGAGAGGAAATGCGGGGGCTTTATGCTTCCTTCCTGTGATCAGTCAAAAGCAATGAAGTTATGACAAGAAACTCCCAGTCTGGCCAGGATTGCAACAGGGGGCCCATAGTTGACATCCCAAGTCTCTTGGACGTCAACACTGTTGTTCGAGGCTGTGCACCTGGACCAGAGGAGCCTTCCAGATTCCTGCTGGCCTAGTCTACCTGGTTCCTTCCCCAGTACCCCCTCCTTCCTGTATGACTGAAAGCACACCTTTCTGGCTTTCAGTTTTCATGCCTGTGCTCAGTCTGTCCTCGACCTCCTTATTTGAGATTCGTCTGCATCTCCCTATCACTCACTATCACAATACATGGTAAGAAGTCCATGTCTAGCATGAGGTCTGGGTGTGCTTCGTGACTCACCAGGAATCACTGGATGCCCTCCACATGCAGCCTTATCTCCACCCGGATGGTAAACTCCTCAGTGACACCCACACACGCCTTACCTTCCTCCCCCTGGGTGTTGGCTTATTTGAGAATCATTACCAACTTTGCTCCCAGATCACTGGCAGTGACCCATTACTTTTTAAGCTGAACACCTTTTCTTGTGAGTTGACCATAACAGTCTTTATGTTTTGCAAATAACATGTCTCCGTCCCTATGAATTGCTGTTGGAACGCAAACAGTCTGAAACCCTCAAACAGACTGAAACCCCCAGACAGACTGAAACCCATGGTGCCTCTGTTTCTTCACCTATAAAATTATCTACCTTGTAAGATTTTTTTTTTCCTTAAGGTAATGTCAGTGGAAAAAAAAAATGGTGCCTGCTCTGCAACCTGACAGCCAGGGTCCAGGCCTATGAATGCTTCCTGCAAGGACAGGAAACCGTCCCCTCTTGGGTCCAAAGGTCACCCAGCTCTCTGACTGTAAGGTTAACTGGGAACCTGGTTTTTCTAGATAAGTCCCTGAATTCTTTGTTTTATGGACTCTGGATAAGTCCTTGTTTGTTCCTATTAGAGGGCTGATTGCTTCTGATCACTGTACTTGGTCCTCCCTGGCCTGGTGCTGTCAGCATAAGCAGGCAGCATGGTGGCCACCATTTGGTGACAGGGTCTAAGGTGTACTTCAAGTTAGGAATAGTTGCTCATCTAGTCTGTTCTTCCTTCGTTATTCATCTAGCCAATGCTTGTTCTGTACCTGCTAATAGTCAGCTTCTATGCTGGGCTGTGATACAGACCTATAATAGATGTGGGCTAGATGGAGCTAGATGGTGTTCATGAGATATACACTGGTGTAGGTTGGATATACACTAGATACTGGCTGGAGGTGGAGTATAGACTAGAGGTAGATGACACAGGGAATACACACACACACAGATAGAGATGAAATGTAGGTTAGGTGTAGACTGAATGTAGAAAAAGACTGAAAATTAGACTAGCTGAGGACCAGGCTGGAGTCCACCCCTTGCAGGAGCAGGGATGCAGAAAAGACAGGCAACTGAAGAGTTTGTACGTGATGAATTATGAAGCATGTGCAAGATGACTGGAGCTCATCTTGGAAGTTAAGAGAACTTCACTCCAGTGAAAAACAGCTGGCATAGGGCTACAGGTAGCCAGCAGAGTACCAGGTGGTGGGTGCTTCAAGGGAGCAGGGGTGCAAGGGCTGGAGGGGAACAACAGGCTAGCAGAGGCTGACTGTCATCAATTAGGCTTGGACCATTTGCCCCGAGGCCCTGGGAGGCCTTGGGTTGGGGAGGTCGCAGCAGGTGAGTGATGTGATGGAGCCATGGTGGGAACTGGCTCCTGTGGGATTGTGTGGCAAGAGGACCTCCTCTCAGCTCCCCTGCCATAAGATGGGAGGAATGACCATGAGGGACTTTGGGGACAGGAGGCCACCATGAGGGCCACGGTATCTGGTCAAAGCCCAGGAGGAGGAAGGCACAGGCAGGATGTGTAGTTGGGGGTGGGGGACATGTGAAGAGCTAGACAGCAAGACCATTGCTAGGAAGGCAGCATCTCCATGTGCTCATGGGATTCCTGATGAACTGGCAGATGTCCATCCTCCAGACTCACTTCATTGCACCATAAGACTGCAGACACACAGACCATGAGGTAAACCTGCCCCTCACAGGTGTGTGATGTGCCACCTTCCCAGCTGTCAGCTTGCTTGGGTCCTGGACTGTTTGGATATCTACACCCTCAGCACCATGGTGCCTGCAGCAGCCGGTGAGCCCCTTTCTGAGGAAAAAGGAGACAATGACTGAGGTGCACCCCAAGAGGAAGCACTTGTAGACCCAGGAGCCGCACTGGGTCCTTCACAAACATCTCCTGGTGTCATGACCTTCAACTAAATGGCACAGCCTTGTCTTCCTCACTTTAAAGTAGGGGCATGCAAAGATGACATGCACAGGGACTGTAGCATTAGAATATAAGCTGGGATCTGCACAGCACCATGTCTGGGTCACAGTATTGACCACTCCAGTGGATGTACTGAGGCTCCTGCACTCAGATAACAGCCTTGCCATCCTGTGGGAACCAGCAAGAAAGGACAGCAATGGAGTGAATGTGCCCAGCAGAAGAAGGGGTCACCCCCAGGCTTCTCTGAGTAGCTTGGTGAGCACCTCCTGGGAGACAGGTTGGGCTGGAC